GGGGGGGGGGCCACGCGGTGGTGGACGTGGAGGGGGTGGCGAGTGAGAAAGGAGACGACCGGTCAGATGAAGTTGTTGTCCTTGATGTTGGGGTGAGCTTCCCCCTTGAAGACCGCTTGTGTTCCCCACAGTTACTCCAATGGGGGGCAAGGAGCCATGTTTCTGGTCAAGCGTTGGTATAAAGTAGGGGCTTCAACTCTATCAATGTCGCTGAACGTTTTGGCTTCGACGGCTTTGAATCTCGGGTCCAGTTCCCGATGCTGTGTGCCCTTCCAGGAAAGACTTGGCACGCTTATAGTTGTTCTGGTTTTTGAGGTTGTTCCCGGACAACGCACCTGGAGGACTTGTTGGGGGTGAAAGCTCAGGCAGATTACGTTCATGTCACAGAGGGGTGTCTTGGTGTGGGCTGCACAAACCTTTTCAGGGGCTCTACTCTGTAAGCTGAATGCAAAACAGATGGACGTGGGTTACACTTTAGGCGGTAACATTGACTCGATTGAGTCTGTTTTGGGAATGAGAGACTTCTGGCTGCTGTAAGACACTTTCGAGGCGACGCTGTTTGCACAGCCTGCGTTCATAGTTGAGTGAGCTCCGCTCAGGACACCGCAGCTGAATTAAAGCCTGTATTCAATCGGAAACCCATGATTCTATCCTTTCAGCTCAGATACCCGCTTATTACCTGCTTGATAGACAGACTATTCAGGTGTAAGTCTCCGAATAGTCAGCATCTGGTCTCATGAAGGTGATACCTGGCATCATCTTTGTAATCTTGATTTTCTCATCATTAGATTGAGAAAGATACTCAGATCGTCCAGTTTTTCAATCCGGCCAAATATGCCATTCTGCTACGCGCATTCCCCTGAAATGATTGAATTTGGTGCGCATGCAGGGCATGTCTTGCGGGGGCTGCGCATCGGCTGTCAAACGGATTCTCGAATCACAGGTACGTACCTAGGCCCTTTCTCCACTGCTTGTCACTCGTTACGATTTAGATTTAGTTTAGACAATCTAAATGGGGCACTTGTCTCATAATCCTTGGAGCATCGCAAAGGCAACGACTGCTATTGGTGATGGGCAACAACTGCTATCTGTTTCGTCGAGATTTCACAGGTTTTCCGGTGGACTTTTGCGATCAAAAGTTGTCTTTCAGAGGACGAAATTGAATGAATGCTTTTTCTTAAGGGCGCCATGTCGCTGAGAACTGATAACGGGCCCATCAGTTCTCAGCCCCTGAAATCAAGCGCCTCCATAGGCATCTTGTGCCCTTAAAGCCAGCGGTCTTGCCTTTCAACCTATCTGTGCATATGGGGTAAACCTGCTTGGTTTGGGAACATCCTGTCAAATCATGTTAGCCAGTGATTTGTGCACTCCCCTTGTAGCGACTTTTTCAATCGTAAACGGTTGATCATTACTTTTTTCGACCGCCACGATACGTTCGAGGGCTATCCACGTTCTGTTATAGTTTTCGCATCAGGCTAATGTTCTCAAAAACTAGCCGTTAATCATTGTTGACCTGTGTATGCGAAAATGATTATGCCTGGATGCAAGCAGCCCAAGATTGTCACCTCCAGCTCGTCCATTACAATCTGCTTACACACCTTATTCCGAACGTTTGTTTTCCCTTAGCCGGAAGTCAGTTCCGCCACGGTCAATCTCGCCACCGAGACTGCTCTGATCCAACTGGAGCCGTCTGCTGAAAGCGACGGCAAGAAGGAAAAAGTAGCTGAACAACTAGCAGCCCAGCTTACGAAAGCCGGCTTCAAATCAACACTGCGAGGTAAGAACATCCTTTTGGCCATGTTACTGGTCTGTTTTCGCGTGTGGTTCTCCTTTCGCTTCGTTTGGACCGTATCCGCTAATCTTTTTTCTCAGGCTGGGGCGTCGGGGGCTCTTCGGCGTTTGATTGACTCTGAGCTGCATATGGGCAAATCCTGCATCGCCCTACCTGTCACAGAAAATTTTCTGACAAGAGAAGCAAACGGTTTTTAGATAACAAACCTCGACAACCAAAAGTTGGCAAAGTTAGCAGTCTTCGATGCACCCCAGTTGGTTCGGGGAAGTTTTCTCTCGGGGGAGGTGATCAAAGTGTCGTTTACCGGCCCCCCTTCGTCAGGCCTGACGCTCACACAGACCACGTCAGCTTATGTCAGTTATGTTCTGTGTGCAGTTAAGAAGGCCTGACGGAAGGGGGTTGCAGTCGTTCGGAAGAGAGTAGCTAGTTGCGAGACTTTGTTGCAAGATCAGTCTCAATGTGTTACCGGACTAGCAAAGGTTTTAGGTGGAAGAGAAGAAAGTCTGAGGAGTAGGAAAGGTGCAGATGTGCACAAACGAAGGTTCCAGGGGTAGCTGGAGTGTGCCTGCTTTTGATTAGTTTATAAGGTTGCATTTGGATTCAGCATAACAGTAGCTAGAGAAGACATCAAACAGGGGATTGTGTATTGTACTAAGAGAGGATTTGATGATTTTGCAAGGCTGCTGGAACTGTATTCACTAATGATTCATGTCGTATCTATCATCAATGTTGCTGACATCCGGTTTGCTGACCCGACAGTCAAATGTGCTCTGCTGACATTCTGGTTCCTGATCGTAACTTTGAAGACAGTTGCAACGGCATGTTCGCACTCTGCTGTTTTAATTCACAAGTTTCACTGTACTTTGTTATACGAGCCGCTTTTCACGGCATTTGAAGCATTTTGGACTGCTTACCCTTATGAACAATGTTTCCGTCTGCGCACTTTTCTGAACAAAGTCTACGTCTGCGCAAACCTGAAGATGCTTGACTGGATCTTGGATCCCACCACATCGTCTGCAGGAGTTCGCGAGATTAGCATGCTCCTCAAAGCCTCGGAAGCGGGAGCGATTCGACTCAAAACAGTATCTCCAATTTGATTCTATGTCATCTTGCAGATTCCAAGACGGGAGGTTCGAGCCCCTCCGCCCACCGAAAGCGAGAAGAGAGGTTGCAAAGGCTCAAAGATAGCGGTAAGTCGTCGCCTAAAGCTTCATCTCCTGTGCCTGGCCAATTTTCTTCTCCTGCTTTTTCCCGCTTGGATCGTCCTGCAACAAATTCTCCGTATCTTTGAATCCAAGCGGACAAAAAAGTGCGACCGTTGAGCGGACTCGGGCTCGTGATTGTAAAATTCGAACACCGGGCCGCAAATTGCTAAGCTCCGAAGAGAGCCAGCTACGATGGCTTCACAATTGACATGGGACCCATTGAACATCAAGTCTGCCCATCCTACTAAGGGATATCTTGTCAAGATCCTGGAGGCACTCTTAGGTCCCGTTTTCCGCTCTCTTTCCGATCCTTTCACTGAAGCGAGCCATTTTGAGATGCCTTCAGTGGGCCAAGGGTCAATAGCCAAGTTGACTCCCTGCACGTTAAGTACCCCAAGCCGCTAAACAAAGCTCACTCGTCTCTCAGTGATCGATGAAATACCCATACGTAACCGTTCGCTCTACAACTGATTTCCCTACGGATTGGTCTATCTCGACCCGACTGAATCTTAATGTGATTGGACTTTGACCTGACAGCGAAGAAATCTCTTCAGGTTAACACCTCGCTGTGGCATGGGGCCTCCATCCGCTTTACTGCCAGTAACCAGATGACCCACCTCAACCCGCTTAATGCCAATCTCGTTTTAACCCTAACCTCGTTCAAGCTCCTCAATCGTGTTCCCCTCAATCTCGTTTGATTGCAACCTCGTTTGACCTCAGTCTCGTTCAACATCAGTCTCGTTTAACCTCAACCTCGTTTAACGTCGATCTCGGTTTTTCTCAACCTCATTCAAACTCAACCTCGTTTGACTTCAATCTTGTTGAACCTCAACCTCCCTTCACCTCAACCTCAACCTCATTAACCCGAACCACAATACCGACAAAGCTCAACCTCTGCTAACCTCAAACTCAAACTTCCCGTCAGGGCAACGCCTCGCCGTCGCGTGGAGCCTCGCCGCCGCCTGCGTCGCCGGCCACGCCGCGCACTTTCTGCACGCGCACCTCCCCCCCTGGCTGGGCTTCCTGCACTCCACGCAGTTCCACGTGGCGCTCTCTGTGATCGCGCTGGCGGGCCCCGGGCGGAAGCTGCTCGTGGACGGAATCGGCTCCCTCAAGCGGAATGCCCCCAACATGAACACGCTGGTGGCGCTCGGCGCGCTGTCGTCGTTCGCCGTCAGCTCGGCGGCCGCGCTGCTGCCGCAGCTGGTGAGGGGATCCGTTCTGTTCCTTCTTTTCCGTCCGTATTTTCCGTTCTTCAGCTACATGTTTGTAGAATTTGTGGGTACAGTGGAGCTATGTGTGACGTCGTAACGCCCATCTTGCGTTTGCCGTTTTGTCCGTGATCGTCGGTGCTCATCAATCTCACTGCTGCTGGCAGTGAGATTGATGAGCGTTCCCTTTCTGAATCCAGCCTCCGATTGCCTGATGTTGCCGTTTGCTTTTGTTGCTGTTGATTTCGGTATGCTCAGGGGCACGCTCATTGCTGCTCAGATGTGCTTCAGGTGCACGCTCATTGCTGCTCAGATGTGCTCCATTTATTCCCAACCCAATTTCGGTAGTGGTTGATCACGTGTCTGGCTTGTCTGGTCGTTTTGCTGTCGCCAGTGCTCGGTGCTTTCAAAAGGAGCGGACTTGTCTGCCTCATCTCCTGTTGACAGGAGAGTGGTTATTTATCCTCTCGGTTGCCACGGAGATTGCTTCGTAGGTGTAGATTTAATCTGGAAGGTTGGTACCTAGTCGCTGTTGCAGATCGTCTTGCTGCCAGGATATGAAACGATTGGCTCTGGAAAGACTACCTTCATTATGTGGCCTCTTTGACGAATCTAAGCTGCCCTGGACTCAGCAAATAGTGGTTCCTTGACAAGCATCCGCCTTTGACCACTTGACTGGAAAAAGGAAGAAAGAATCAAGAAAGAAAAGGATACGAGAGCTGTCCTTTTTACTCGAGAGTCCTCTCCAAGAAACCGAAGCCTGTGTTGAAAAACCCGTAGTCCAGTACTTCGAAGGTACATCAGCCGTGGCCGTTCCGAACGCTGATCAAGGACTTCTCCACATTGCCCCTGCAGAAGTGGCAGACGTTCTTCGAGGAGCCGGTAATGCTGCTGGCCTTCGTCCTCCTCGGGCGCGCGGTAGAGGAGCGCGCCAAGCTGCAGGCGACCAGCGACATGACCGCGCTCCTGAATCTGCTGCCGCCCAAAGCGCGCCTGCTGGTGACTGGGAAAGACGGCAAGGAGAAGACGGTGGAGGTGCCAACGGACGCGCTGGGGCAGGGCGACACCGTGCTGGTGTATCCTGGGGTGAGGTCGCCGGGAGAGCTGTTCGAATATTTTAGTGGTTTGGTTCGGTTCGACCTTGCAGGCCGTTGGTGGAAGAAGCCGTTGGTGGAAGAAGCTGTCACGCAGCGGAAGCAATGGGGAGCGACATAGTTAACGATAGGATGTTGAGATGGCTTGGAAGTGATGAAACAAAGGTAAATTATGATGCTAGGTACGTGAGGATGGTTTAGGACGCTTCTTCATGGAAATTGAACCTTATAGGGTTGCTGTCCTCGTCAGGTAAACGCCTTAGCATCACTGGGCGGCAAGGTGCGTCCCTGTGAAGGAGGGTCGAGTCGGGCCGCATGACCGTGGACGAATCGAGTTGACGGGGGAGCCGCTTTCAATGCATGAGAAATTGACGCCAGTTCATGCTCTGCTTACATTATTTTGAGATTTGTCTTCTGCTTCTAGGACCGCATCCCGGTGGATGGCACCGTCGAGTCGGGCCGCACGACGGTTGACGAATCGAGCCTGACGGGAGAGCCGCTGCCGGTGCTCAAGCAGGCGGGGGATGACGTCACCGCGGGGACCATGAACTACAACGGGACGCTGCGCGTTGCGGCGCGGCGGGGTGGGGGGGACACGGTGCTGGGGGACATTGTGCGCATGGTGGAGGACGCGCAAACCAGGTGGGTTAAGACGCTCAGAACCGGGTTTGAGGAGTTTAGATTCAGATTTAGGTTTTGGACCGTGCTCTAGGGATTCTGGAGGCGGGTGAGACAACGGGTTGAGAAGCGTTTAAGGATTAGGAGGAATTTTGGGTTTGGTATGCTTTGGTTCGGGGTTGGAATGTTGTGGGGTAAGAGGGTCTGGATAAGGGCTTGTGGAAGGGCCTTGAGGCGGTTCAATGGACAGGACTTGGTAGGTTGCCAAGAGGTGACCATTGTCACGACGGGAAGGAAAAGAGAATTTCTGTCGGCTCACTCGAACGAGAACGGAGCTGCTCGTAGAAATGTAACAAGCGGAGGATTTCGAAAGCCGCCAACTCCGCCGCATTCAAGGCCGCCGATTCTCAAAACGCATAATCTGTTCCGCATGTTCAATGGTTCCGAGTCTCAGCCAGCGTCACTAACAGCTCAGGATCGCGTCCACAACCCGGAAACTTCTTCCCGAAACATCCCAGAGCATCTTAGTTTCTCTGCTCCGCACAAGAGGGGGCATCAGACGACAGTGATTGTGAAGCTCCGAAACGGCATCCATCAACTTTGCAGCCCGCTTTTTGTGAAGATTCGCGCACTCCTCTGCCTGTTGCCTAACCTTAATGCCTCCCGTTGCCCGCTTACGCAGCACCTTTATCTTTCACAGGGAGGCCCCAGTCCAGCGCCTCGCCGACGCCGTCTCCGGCAAGTTCTGCTACGGCGTCATGGCCACGTCAGCAGCCACCTTCGCCTTCTGGCGCCTCGCGGGCCCGCAGCTGTTTCCCCGGTTGATTCCCCCGGGCGGTCCCCTTCTTCTAGCGCTCCAAATGGCTTGCAACGTTTTGGTCGTGGCGTGCCCGTGTGCGCTCGGTTTAGCGACCCCGACCGCCGTTTTAGTTGGCACCTCCCTCGGGGCGCGCAAGGGGTTGTTGATACGGGGGGGCGACGTATTGGAGAAGGTGTGGGAGCTGGACACGGTCGTGTTTGATAAGACGGGGACGCTTACGGCGGGGCGGCCCGTGGTGACGAAAGTGGTCGGGGGGGGAGGGGAAAGTGGGTGGAGCGAAGACGAAGTGCTGGCGCTGGCGGCAGGTGAGGTCATCTTCGAAAGTTGCGAGGCTTCTCTGCTCGTTTCTCGATCCGTGAGAACTGTTCGACGGTCCATGGGCGAAGGCACTTCAAGGATGCCAATTATCTCATACCTCCTGTCGCGCTGTCAGCAGCTCGTTGGTCGGGGCTTGGTCTCTTTTGATTCGCTCGATTCTTCTCGTTTTCCATCATATTCTCTGGAGATACACTCGTCTCCGCTGCGTTTTCTTCTCGAGCGTCCGTCCTACAGAATTTGCCGTGCTTTAAAACGGCAGAAATGTGACTCCTTTGCGGAAAGAGACAAGCCTCGCGTTAGACTACGTGATTCACAGTTGTCACTTGTATTGCTCAACTGCCAAATCCATCGCATCTGCATTGATCTTGAATTGGATATCCTAACCCGCCTCTTTCCACGCAAGGATCGCTGGCGTTGCATGCCCTTGGCCAGTTCGTGTTTTTGGAGTACATATATCTGACCGGTCCCTATATTTTTCCTTCCTCTGCATGGCTAAGTCTTTCCTAGTAAGGTCTTGAGACCACACTTGTCTGACCGGCTTCCAACCACGGTTAAGTAAACGTTCTTTTAACCACAGTCCTCTAACCAGTCTTCAAATCCCGCTCCAGGCGTCGAGCAGGCGAGCTCCCACCCCCTGGCCAAGGCGGTCGTCCAGGCCGCCTCCTCGCGCGGCCACGTCATCCCCCGCATTCAAGACGGCACGTTCGAGCAAGAGCCCGGCAGCGGCGCTTCTGCCACGATTGACGGCCGGCGAATTGCCGTGGGTTCTCTCGACTGGGTCGAGCGCCGGGCGTCGAACGGCTCAGCCTCCGTGAAACCCCAGACCCCATCCGACGTCGAAACTTCCACCTCCCAGACCCCTATAATCCCTCGGACCCCTTCAAACCCCAGATCGTTTGACAAGCAAACACCTTCAGATTCTAAAATCCTCGGATCACAAACGGCTACCGACGACGAAACGGCGAGCACGCCAGAGGCCGCGTCGGCCGGCGCCAAACCCCCAAACCCCGCGGGTTTGGGCCGCCTCCCGGACCTTGCGAAGCAGGGTCAGACCGTGGTTTACGTCAGCATTGACGGGCGAGTCGCGGGCGCTGTCGCGATGGAGGACGAGGTTCGACCGGACGCGGCGGGAACAGTGGAAGGGTTAAGGAAACTGGGGTTGCGCACGGCAATGATCTCGGGCGATAAGCAGGCGGCGGCGGAGGCGGTCGCGGCAAAAGTGGGCATCGATCCGCAGCAGGTGGGGCTTTACTGCGTACCTTTTGCATTTGGAGGGAGGTGTTAAAGACTGATCAGAGCCGGCAAGGTGCCAGAATATGACAGATTCAGAAGGCCTTCCACAGGCTAGTCCGTCATTTTTCCTGTTCTAATACTACGCTCGGTTTGGAAGAGATTAACGCCGGTTGCGTCTTCAGATGTCTCAAGAGGGTGGGACTTGCCAGTCCCGTAATAGCAAGTAAAAATCATCCAATCCTCGCTTTAATCGTCTCTTCCCTTTCAAAACGGATTCTAGAAGACGGCCGTTCACCGATCCTTACCCTCTACTTCAAACGACTAGACCTGTTTTGGGGGCATGAATGCTTGGCTCTAGCACGGATACCGCCGGAGAGCCGCCGTCGCCCAAGGCATGGTTGCGGCGGAGGCATAGAGCCTGAAAATTAGAGATTGATTGGCAAGGATTGGCGTGACCTTAAGACCATTGAGTGCAAACTTTGGATAGAAGCCAGATTCCTTGTAGAAATGCACCCCCCCCAGGAGGCCCCGCTGGTGCAGCAGTGGCAAGAGGACGGATTTAACGGCGACACCGGGAAAGAACGGCGTCACCTAAAAGCACAACGCGTTTTTTATTTCAAGTATAAAACCTAAACTGCTCTCCTTCAGGCTTATGGAGAGGTGCGCCCCGCCCAGAAGGCCGCGCTGGTGCAGCAGTGGCAAAAGGACGGGCGGAAAGTCGCCATGGTCGGGGATGGCGTCAACGACGCGGCCGCGCTCGCGACTGCGAACGTGGGCATTGCGATGGCGGGCGGCGTCGGGGCCGCGAGCGAGGTCTCGTCCATCGTGCTCATGGGCGACCGCTTGCCGCAGGTACGCGCTCCTGTGGTCGCCCAAATTCAGACTCGCTGGAATCTCACGTCCTTTAACACAGGGAAAGATGTGATACTCATCTTGCTCGAGCACATTCATTCGGCCTATGATTCGTACAGCAGGAAAAGACGTTTAGCAGCTCGGCGGTGCGGCACAGAAGATTCGTCAGTGATACTTTCAGAGTTGTTCTCCGAAACACGCAGATTTGAACAATGAGGCAGATTAGCAACGGCCAATGACGCGGACACTGAACGGTATATGGTTCCTGGGGGGGTAAAGCTTTGCATTGACCCGCAGGTCCTGGACGCCCTCGAGCTGAGCCGCGCGACGTTCAACAAGATTCGGCAGAATCTTTGGTGGGCGTTCGCGTACAACATGGTGGGGATCCCTCTCGCGGCCGGGGTGTTTTTCCCGAGCGCCGGCCTCATGCTGACGCCATCCATCTCTGGGGCGCTCATGGGCGTGAGCTCACTCGGCGTCATGGCCAACTCGTTGCTTCTCCAATTGGAGTACAAGGGATCCCCCAAGAAGTCGGGCGCGAGGATCGAGGAGTTGAGGGAGAAGAAAGGCGAGAAAAGTAGAGAAGGTAGAAAGAAGGAGGTGGTGAATCGGGAAGAGGCAGGTGACGTGGAGCAAGGAGGCCTCCAGCCGACGCAATGAAAAGTGCGGCCTGTGTTGGAGGAGAGGGTGCGATACTTGGATCTTTTTGACGGTGTTTCAGAGTCTCTTTGTCAGCCTGTGCGATCTCTTAGAGGGCTGACCTCAGGGTCTGTAATCTAGTATTGGTTGTTTCGAGCATGACCCGTGCCTCTTCGTCTGGCCCCATCGAGCAATTGCCCTTGATAACTGTACGTCCCGGCGCTAAGTTGCAACGTGTTAATTTATGTTGTACGATGCGCGCAAGGCTTGCATATATCATTGTACAGGGCGCGCGGGCGCCGACAGCATATTAGGTTGGATGATATATGCTGGCCGCCGGGCATATACTAACGCCGGCCGGGCCGGATGTTCCTCAGTAGCCTTGCATGTGTTGTATAATCACTTTTGATTGAAAGGTCAGTGTGCCGAACACTCAGATCTTTACTGTCGCTTTGAGGTGGACAAGAGTCCGCATTGAAGATCAAATGCACGAGGCAATGCGTTCGCCATGCGACAATGAAACGAGAATTAGGTGCGCGCAACAACCGAATATATATATTCAGGAGTTGTGAACATAAGACGACAACATCTGCACGCGGTGTCATGCGGTCATGGGTCGGTGCGATATCATGTCGGTGCACAGTCGAAGTGCCTTGATTGAACGGCGAAAGCGAAAAACATACGTGATTACATGCCACTCGATCATACGGCATATCATATCATCTGTGATCCCGGGGGCGTCGGATGGCGCTAAGCGCATGCCCCGGCCGTTAGTGACGGCGGTTGTGCACTAAGATGCGGCAATTTATGCGGGGATCCCTCTGGGATTGGCGAGCCCCAAGTGGGGTCTAACTAGCATGGGCGGCCAAGTGGCGGCATCTAGCAACTAGCATGGGCGTAGCCCTATAGCCGAGCCTTCACGGCAACGACAGCACACGGCATGACATCGGCAACTAGATTAAACGTTTTGGCTTCTTCTGCAACCTCCTGAATTTGTTGCTCAGACAAAAGACGGTCATCTGGATGTATCACATGATCGCACAGCACAGTCTTCAGATCGTTCTGATCCCTCAACCCGTGTTGCATCTTGGTGGCACGTTTCAAATTGGTGCGTCTCTGGCAGTCAATCTCTGCTACTTTGATACTCTTTCAGGCCGTCCAAGGTCGGGGTAAACGACACTTGCCTTGCACAAAAGATGTAAAATTGGTCGTCTTCGACTTATGTGGCTTGTTCAACTTCTCGCAGATTGTGCAGAAAGGACTACTCTCAAGCTCTTTTGATTGACCCCACCAATCGGGGTCGTCGTATGTCAAGGTATGTGTCTTGTACCACTGGAAGTAAGCGGCATACTTTACCTTGTCGTGAGCAACCTCCAGCAAGTATGTGGCTAATTCCCGAGGCCCAGCAAAGTCGTCCGCATATATGAACGACCCAGGGGGAGCCACCGCTTCATAATCGGCCCTCGACAACCCGCCACGAGCCACCGGAATGACACCTTTTTGGAGCGCGGTCTTCCAAAACTTTTCGGTTATGTAGTCCTTGCAGAAAGAGTTCTCAAACGCGAGGTAAAACATGTAGCTGCTGGGTTCAGCGCTGGGCTTGGTCGCGTTCTCGAACAGCGCACACTTCCCCTCTATATGTACTGGTATGTACCGCATCATATCCGTCACATAAGCTTCCCTGCGGCTCGGCCTTGGACAAGACGATATGTGCCAAACGACCAGCCTGTCTAATGACTTGCTTCTCACTATTCTATCTATTTTCTGGTCCCATGTGACGTAAGGGTATCGGAGGTCATGCATCGTGAACTCCCTCGAATTTCCATAAGGCATCCAAATATCGGAGTCTCTATCATATGTCATGGACCAGTTGAAGATCCCATCGATTTCTAGCGGAGTTGATTGGTCCGCAAAGTAGGAGAGTACTGGACATGACAAACGAAAGAAATGTCAGACTCAGCAATGCAAAGAGTGTAAGCAGCTGTCGGTCTCTACCATGTAAGAGGCTCCAATGCTGTGAAGTCATACGCAGTTGCCCAACATTGCTAGGCGCTGGAAACTTCCGCTTAAGAAGTTACAGTTCAAGGCAGAGATGAGTGTAAGTCAGACTTTTAACTTAGGCTCTCTATAAGTCGCCGCCACTCTCTGACAGTCTGGTGGCACTGCAACTGATCAACTGAAGTAGCCTTGGTGAAGTCAAAGAAGGAAGAAAAGATGGTTTGATCAGATCAGTGTGCTGGAGTGGTAATCATGAGAAGTGACCTTCAATAAGCATTCTGATACCCTGTGAGATCAGGAAGAGACATTTTGCAGCCTAAGATTGAGCTCTTGATGAAGCAAGATGCTCGATGTTGAAGTTCGCACTCAGAAAATTGTAAAACCCTTGACCATCTTGCAACCCTGTATCTTATCATTGCTTGCACACTGAGAGAATTTTTGGGGAGGTTGACTGATGTGATGTACATAAAAGAGATACATTCTGCTGATTGCCTGTTTTCTTGTCCGCTTGAGGCAATCTTTTTCCCCCCCTTCTCATCCTTTGCATACTACGTGTTCCAGACGTCAAAGCTTGGATGCACCCCAACAAACGCTTTCTGACAGGGGCGATGCAAGCTGTAACACCAGCCTTTACACACATCCTGCTGCCACAAACAATTTTTAGAAAGCGCTTGGACAGGGATCGCACCGTTTCCCGACTTGGTGAGGAATCACCACACAAAATGTGTGTCTTGAGGGTCTAAGGTGGAGGCACGACACAACTTGCACTAGAAAGCCCTTCCAGTGAGCATTTCAAAACATTATGCCACAGAAATGCAGGGATGCATCTTATCAGCTTTTACGCAGCGCTGAATAGTGGAACCTTGCGGGAGATCACGGCAATCTGTTGCGAGAGAGTATACGGTGCCACCATAATCTGAAGGCCTGTGAATCTGGAAGAAGCAGTCGGACAACAGCTGGATCTTGTCGTCCCCCTCTCTTGCCCTAAATACCATGACTTAGACGGAGCTAAGATCAGTCCTTGGCGGCGGACGGGGAGAATATCTGACTGGCAGCGTCTTAGCCAAGCATGAGTGAAAAGCGACACGTGCAGACGCCTTACCAAGAGCCTCAACCTCGCTGTTGATCCAGATCTGCGCCGGACTGGGCCGTGGATAAGGTGGTAACATGTCCAGCTTCCACCCAGAATGAAACCAGACCGCATCACTGCGGTTGAAGTCTGCCTCAACATCTGTGCTCAGAATACAATTTCTCTCGCTGCAATGCTCAAAACCAAAGCCAGGGAATACAATGTCGCGTCCATACCAATCTGAATATATGAGGATGAGCTTTGGTGATGCATCTGTCGGCACCAGAGCAGGCCGCCATGTTGATGGTGCGTACGCTGCTGAACTAATGTACTCATATACGGAAGATGGCTGCTCGACATTTAGGAAGACAATGCCGATGATAAAGCAGCTGATGGTTGCTAGAATGAACACGGACGCTGAGAAGACTAGCTGCTTTCCCCTGAGGCATAAAAGATGCTCCGCACCGAGTCCTGTCATTGCAGTTGCCTCACTGAAATACCCTGCAGCACCACTTATCCATACCCATTCTTTTGTCAATGTGCCCCTTCCGAAATCCTGAGATGTTGCGTCTCCTTTTTAAAAGAGACACACTCAGTACCTATTAAATACAGAAGGATCGCCACTTCGGACCCTACCTAGGAGGCCTCTAGGAAGCAACACATTGATGATGATATTGATAATGACGAGCTGTGGCGCAGGCAAAAAAGTTCAGTGCTCACCTCTTCAAGTTGCAGCCGGAGCCTGGTGCCAGGCCCCCGCCCGGAGGCTCCCTGCCGGCTGCTTGCCGCCGGTATGAAATGAGCATGCTCAGCCAGACTTCACTATTAAAAGACAAATGCCGACTACCGAGCCTTGAGAACCGGGGGTGCGCCGGCAGTTTGTCGGTCGGGACGAAGTCGGAAGCAATCCATTCGAACTTGTGCTGCCTGCATAATGCAGGTCGTTGCGCACAGATGAAATTCTATCCGTCAGCTACCGGATCTACCGTACTTCTTATCGACGGCTGGTAAGTATCCGTCGTGACTTTGCTAAGTCACCTTGAAACAGCTAGCTACGTCACTGCGCCACATGCACAATCTGGCGGAGCTCTGTTTTTCAGGGCTTCCAAGTTCCCCTGCAAGCTTCTGGCAGGATGCTCCTTGCAATTGTCCGCTAGCCGCAATAGCTGTTCAGTTGCGCGTCCTCTTTTCTTAGCAAGTTGCTGTTCCGCTTTCTCCTCCGGGTTCTAGTGAGCTACAGCCAATATGACGTACAATGCTGTTCCACCGCCCTCAGGGCTTTACTCTGCTCCTCAGCCGTCAAAAAGCTCTAGCACGGGCAAGAGAGTTTCTGGCGGCGGCGCTGGGGGCCATTCGCAAGCGAGGAGGGATGGTGGCGTGCAAGGGTCCTCAAGCATGCAGCGGGATGACGAGAATGAAGAAGGCGTGTCAGGAGGCCGCAGAAAGTTTGAATCTCCAGGTATGGTGTTGGCTTTCTTCGTTTTGTTGCATCCTCAAGGATTCCTCGAAGTGAAAATGGTTTGAATTGCACACACTTTTGTGGGGGGCTTGGGAAATTGTTCAATTTCAAAGGCAACCTGCAGGTTTGGTGGGTTTAGCAGGTGATATGCACGCGATTGATGAATTGGAGGAGTTGCAATCTTTTTTCTGCTGATTGCCATGTTCGGTCTTTGCTGAGACTTAGCACTGCAGAGCAAATACCTGTTCAAAAGCAAGGGTTTGTCGATCTTTGGGGGAGGCTTGAGGCTTAGGGTGTCATGATGTGATTGGTTGCTTGATTGGTTTTTCTTTGTGCTCAATCATGACTGTCATCAGCTAACCTTTCTGCATCCCTCAGGGTTTTTTGATAGCGCCTTCCGCTTGTTTCTCAGGTCCTTCCAGGGACACCGAGGTGGCATCTCAAGACCATGCACAAGGGACCAGAAAGCCATTCCCTTCCGTTCGGAGTCCCACCCCCACCAAGCTACCCCTTCCAAGCCCTGGCCTTCTTCCCACCCCCCGAATAAGCGGGAGGCAGACAGGGGGCATCAGGCAGCCAGACTTTGCTCAGCACAGTTCCTCAGCTCGCAAGAAATATCCCCGCAATGAAGTGGCACCTCAGGGTTTACAGAGACCGCTCCAAGCGTCGAACTCGTACGTCGCGCTAGGTAGCTCGCCCGTCTTCCGGCAGTCAGGTAGTCATGCGCGTGCCTCTCCTGCAGCACTTTCTTATTCCGCTGCTCAGGAGGGCTCTGCTCGCGGTGGCGTTGTGCATCAGCATGATGTCACCCAGAGTCCCTTCTATGGCGGGGAGCGTCAGACGAGGTCAGCGTACCAGCAAAGACAAGGGCTGCACGAAACTGAGAGTTCTTTTGGCAGCAGTGTACAAAGAGGCAATGCTGCAGCTGGACTCGGTCATGCAGCGGAGCAGTCGCAGACGGGGGGTTCCAGATCGCCTCTACTGGCTACCCCTGCCAGGAAGATTATTTTTTCCGACAACCAGGGGGCTGATTCTACCGAGCGTGCCCTGCTGATGACACCCTCCCTCGGTGACGGTCTTCTTTTCAGTCCCCCCCGAGACAGAGGCCTGCTCGCAAGCGCCCCTCCGAGCCAGCGCATCGAGCCGTCGGCACCCCCTTTACTGCAGCGGCCGGTGGACCTGTTCGAAGAGATCGAGCGGAGCTTTGGCATGCAGACTAGACTCTTTGACACCGCCTTTGGTCCCAACAGCCAGCCGCAAACCCCTAACGTCAAAACCCCGGCATTCAAGGCGCAAACCCTCAAAACCCCGGCTGCAAAGCGCCCCCCGCTGCACGCCGCACCGTCTCCCGCCCTCCTCCCCACCCCGGGGAAGTTAGCTTTCTTGACACCAGCAAAGCAGGTCCAGGACGCGGCGGCCGCCGCTTGGGCGATGGTGTCAGGCACCCCAGGGATCCTCTCTTCCCCTGCCCATTTCGGAACCAATCAGAAGGCGCCAGCTGTCAACTCGTCTCCAGCCCGGGCCCCTTATCCTGAGCATTGGAGGCCTGAGGAGATCAGCCAGGGCGTGAAGCGGGGCGAGCTGTTCAAGGCGGTGCTTCGAGTCAATGCGTTCCGGCGCATGGAGGCGTACGTAACAATCGAGGGCATCGGGACGGACGTGCTGATTGATGTGAGTTTACGAGATCTATAGCCTAAGCTTGCCCTGATATTGGCAGGTCATCGCTCATATGTGGTGCTAGGGTCATGCTACGGTTGTGCAGAATGGTTGAAAGCTTCTAGAAGTTCCAGGGCAAAGAGCACTCAAAGCTTGTGCCGTGTTGAGGACGCCGGTCCTTATGTTCTGGCGTGTTTCACTTTCTTCTGTCATCTCGTGTGGTTCCAGTTCAACCTTTGCTTTTCTGCGAAGTGCATGGGTCAGGATAGCTGGTGCCTTTTCTCTGATTCCACTTCTCTGATTCCACTCAGTGGTGATATCTGTAAGCTGGTAGCAGGCTTCCTCTGCGTGGGTTTGAAGCACGAGGGTTTTGCTTCCTTTCGTTTCCAGTACGTCAGCAGCCATATGTTGTCTTCTCCTGATCATGTCCGTTTGATCCGGCAGGGCCTGATTGCTCAGAACCGCGCGATTGAGGGCGACACCGTGTACATAAAGGTCGACCCCCCCTCCAAGTGGCCCCTCCTCAAGGGCGCCAAACCCGACGAGACCCCCTCCGAGGCCAGTTCCGTGAGCGGCCTCTCTTCCGTGCTGGAAAAGCTGAACCTGGGAACAACTAGAGGCGGGATGTTTGGGCTGGAAGACAGCGGCGAGGACGAGAGCGACCGGGGGAGCCTCGGCGTGGGAAGCCTGGGCACCGAAAGCTCTTTTGCTGAGAGCTTGGGTAGCAGGATTGCTGGTAACTTTGCCGGCAGGACCAAGGGGGACTATACGAACGGCCATGGGGGGGTGAATGGATCAGAGGGGCCGGACGAAGTGCAGAAAGAGCTGGACGATCTGTTGCGGCAGCTGCGGGGGGCTGGCGGCGAGCATGGACGGGGCGGGGGCAGCGTCGGGAGCATGGAAACCGAGGACGGCAGTGCGGTTGGCAGTCTGGAGGGACGGAGTGCGAGGGCGCGTCTTGCGGTTGCTGAGTCTGAGGAGGGGGGTGATCGGGATACTTGCAACGACACCGAGAGTTTGTCCGAGGGCGATCTGTACAGCAGTAGGGGCAGCGAAGCGGGAACGGAAGAGGAGCGCCGGCAGAGCCCCTCGGAGAAGGCGGTCGAGAAACTAGCGGCGGAGCTAAAAGGGGCGCCGAATCGGCGGCCCACCGGCTTCGTCGTTGGGATCGCGGAGTTCTCGTCCAGACGAGAGGCGCTCGTCGGTTACCTCCAGATCCCCACCAAACCCTCCAAACCCTGCACGCCGGCCAAGCCCTCGCCTGACACGCCCGTGAAGGGACTCTTCCAGGATAGCGGTAACGACTCCCCGACCTTTACCGCCTTCACGAGCCCGTCGATCACGCTGATGCCGGCGGACCCGCGCATGCCGAAGATGACGGTGTGGGTGGACGGGTTACCGGACGGGTTGAAGGAGCGGGTTAGGGAGGGCGACCCGACCGTCAACACGACCCTGGTCGCGGCACGCCTCGACTGCTGGAAGGCCCAGCACTACCAGCCCCTCGCGGTGGTCCGTCAAAGCCTCGGCCAGGCCGGAGAGATTGAGACCGAAACTGCAGCCATCATGTTCATGTACAAGATCCACGGGCCCGACTTTCCCCCCGAAGCGCTTGAGTGCCTCCCTCCGACTCCGTGGGGGATCCCTCCGGACGAGCTGGCGCGCAGACGGGACCTGAGGGGCGAGCGCATCTTTACAATTGACCCCCCTACCGCGCGGGACTTGGACGATGCGGTTTCGGTCAAGAGGCTGGGCAACGGGAACATCGAGATTGGGGTGCACATCGCGGACGTGTCGTTTTTCGTGAGGCCGGGGACCGAACTCGACAAGGTGGGAGATGATTCTTGTTCCGACGACCTCTTTCTGCTTTCGCTTGATCAAGCTTACTACTCCGTTCTCCTTTTGACCACTAACCTGGTCCACTGCAAAATCTTTTCGGTTTATTTGGTACAATGTATCAGGAGGTTGTAACGCTGTTCTGTCTTGCACGGATCAAAAGCTGAAAAGCGATCGCTTGTAATGGTCGTTTCAAAGCCGAGTGTTTTTTATCAATTCCCTCTCTTGTTGCTCAGGTTTCCTCTGTGTTTGCCCCTTCCCATCGCTTGCCACGAAGTTTCTCGTAGAAGCCGTTCTCAAACGTCGCCCCATTGTTCCGCCGCTGTGTCAAACTTCCTTGCCGAAATTGTACTCAGACGCCCTATCCCGTCCCTTTCAGGAGGCCCGCCGGCGATCCACGTCCGTGTACCTCATCCAGCGCGTGCTGCCCATGCTTCCCCCGCTCCTATGCGAGCAGCTCTGCAGCCTCAACCCGGGGGTCGACCGCCTAGCCTTCTCCGTTATCTGGGAGCTGACCCCCGGGGGTGAGATTGTTCGTCAGTGGATGGGCCGGACCGTGATCGCTTCGTGCTGCAAGCTCGCGTACGGGCACGCGCAGGCAATGATTGAAGACCGGTTCGACCCGGAAAACTTCGTCCCGGGGCCGCAGACCGGCCCCAAGCCGCCGGCGCTGCACGGGAACCACGCGTGGGCTGACGTCATCGCGGACGTCATCGCGCTGAACGACCTCGCGCGCTCGCTGCGGCGCGCGCGGTTCGAGTCAGGCGCGCTCCGGCTGGACAACACGAAGGTGGTGTTCAAACTAGACGCGGACGGAAACCCGGACGGCGTGGCGGTCTACGAGTCGCTGGAAGCGAACCGGCTGATCGAGGAATTTATGCTCCTCGCGAACCGCAGCGTGGCCGGGGCGATCTCCCGGGCGTTCCCCGAGGCAGCGCTCCTGCGGCGGCACCCCCCTCCCAACGAGCGAAAGCTCGAGGAGCTAGCGAAGCTCTGCGAAGCGCACGGGTTCGATATCAACCTCAGCAGCGCTGGCGCGCTGCACGCGAGCCTGGAGGAGATCCGTGCCGCGACCGCGCACGACGCCGCGATCGCTGACGTCATCCGGCTGAGCGCGACCAAGCCGATGAACCTGGCCAAGTACTTTTGCACGGGGGAGCTCCTGGGGGCGCCCGAGGACTGGGGGCACTACGCATTAGCGACCCCCCTGTACACCCACTTCACTTCCCCGATCCGGCGCTACCCCGATCTAGTCGTTCACCGCACCCTTGCGGCGGCGCTCGAGGCCGAGAGCAACCTCTGCGAACTGCAGGGAGTAAGTTCAGGTCTAGCGAGTCTGGACGGCGGCGATTCGCAGCCGTTCACGGGACCGGTGACCGGGGACGTCAAGGAGGCGCTGCTGACGTGGCACGGGGCGCTTTGGGACGACGAGAAGGGCGACCGCGGCGTGGAGAAGCGGGCGGTGGCGGTCGCCGGGAAGGCACACGGGGTGCCGGAGAAAGCGGAGCTGCAGGGGGTGGCGACCTACTGCAACGAGCGGAAGCTGGCGAGCAAGCAGGCGCAGGAGGCGAGCGACAAGGTGTTCCTGTGCGTGCTGCTCAAGCGGCGCGGGGGCATGGTGTCGGACGCGCGTGTGGTGTCGCTCGGGCCCAAGTGGGCGACCGTGTATGTCACGCGGTTCGGCCTCGAGCGGCGGATCTACTTCGAGGACCTGCAGGGCGCGCAGGCGGAGTTCTTCGAGTCGACGCGGACGGTCGTGATCGGCGAGGCGCGCGAGAGCGGGCGGAGCGCGAAGAAGGTGGCGCGCAAGGCGGCCGTGGTGGAGGAGTACGGGGATGCGCTCGCGGAGGACGCGGCCGCGGTCGGGGTCGAGGCGGCGGTGCTGCCGATGACGCTCCGGATGCTGTCGTCGGTGCCGGTCGTGTGCTATGCGATCACGGGGAACAACCGGCCGATGGACATTGGGGTACGGCTGTACTTGTGAGAGATGCCGCGATCCAGTTGAGTGGTTGTAGCCTTCTAGGAGGTGTAGCGTAACGAAGGTGATTCAATTGACTTGCTGGTCAGAAGGTGATAAAGGTAGCGAAGCATTCAGTTGGGTGCTCGACTCAGGTGCTTAATTCTGTTGGGAGGTGCATTTCATGGTGTACTTCGTCCTGCAGCTGGGGGTCACTAGCAGAGCTTTGAGAGCTTTGACGCTGTACTCGGGCTGGCTTAAAGTACGTCGGTTTTTAATCATCCACGGCACCTTCTTAATTGCGGCGGCTGACACCGTTACCTGACTGTGCGTGGATCAGCACGATATACCGATTTCCTTCAGTTGACACGAATGGAAGCGTCGTACGTTCGTATGTTTGTGCGGTCAGTTTCGAATGTAGCCTGGCAGTGTTACACATAAAGTGGCGCTGTCATTGTCCGTCAATAATTTTGCAACTATCATTCTTTCGTCCATTGACTGCATGGTCTTATAATGGTTTATATGCAATTGCGGTGAAGCCATATGGGGAATTGCACGCATGCGATACCTATGTATACTCAGATCACGAACAGTACCATGGTCAAGAAACTTTTGACACACTTGTGCATGCTGCGCAACTTATATTGAACATGCCCGCGTGTTGGTTGCTTGCTGGCCTTACTAATACCATCGTGCGCATATTCATTCTTTCCAGATAGGTACGTCCGATCGCTCTGTCGCATGGCCTCATACAGGCTGCATGGAGTGATCTTTATCGATGTCATTGCCAGAAACTGCGTGTGAATGGACACCGAAGCTCGATCATTGTCGCGGGGCAGTCTACTCAGATCAACGCGTTCGTGTGATTCGAGCTAGATATGGAACGTCGGAGCATCATGCAACAGCCTTGAAGAACATGTGAATTTTTTGCATTAAAGTGCTTAACAAATCAAAAGCAAAGCGAGCAATATAAGTTCAATATAACACACTTTCAGTTACGAGCTACAGCTTTGAGGTCTCGATCTTGCAAGACTTGTCTAAAACACGCGCGTGCGCCTGAATCTTTCGATTCTATCCGGCCCTGTTCCTATAGCTGCAGTCTGCAATATCGTACAACACGTTATACTCTAACGTCAGTAAGTTGCTGTTGCACCCCCTGTGACGACTTCGTCCGCTGGCGCGCCGCAGCAGAGGTTGCAAGGACAGCAAATGATGTCCTCAATGCACTGAGCGCACTCGTCAACGGCGAAGCAGCAGCAGAGAGTGATCAGGCTGCAGTGCAGAGTGAAAGAAGAATCAGTTCTATTAGTCACTCATAGCGCTTTTTTGTTAGGCTTTCATGGTCACTCCTTGCATTCACCGAACAGTAGACTTTACAAAAGCTGGAAAGGGCGGAGTATCTTGTAGCCATGTTTGGCACTGCCAATCTATTCCTCCAACGACGAAGCATGATACGAAGAGCTACTACCACGTAACTTGTCCATCGCTATACTAAAGTACCATTCGCGTGCTTGCAGCTCATTTTAGGAGCCATTGAAGTTGCAGACAAAAATACTAGGACCACTTGGTATTCCAATTGCCAGTATCCCAGCCAGTCAGTTCAATTATAAGTCTTTAAATTCGATAGGCTTGTTCACGCAAGCCATTACATGATCAATCACGTCAACGATGTTCGAGAACGCAACGAGTCTAATTGTTTCTGGAGTGGGTCGGATTGAAATGAAGTCAACCTTATGCACCAGTCTGCAAAGCTGCGTGCATATACCTATGCATTCTCCAAATTTGCACTGTGTTTCTGAAGTTTCCTTTCGGTTTCTTACAAGCTCACATGATGGAGACCTCTCAAGCTTGTTCACAAGCGAAGTATAAAAGTTGAACTTACCAAGCCTTGATGAAACCCATGTTGAGCGTCGAAATTAGCAAACTCTTGGAGCTGGCTAAAAGCTTGCTGTGGAAGAACGCAGGTGTCCTGTGTAGTAAAGAGCAGATAAGCCTCAGCAGTAGCTGTCCACCAGTATTCTTGTATTAGACAGTATACAAAATTTTGCGCCAGAAAAATGAAGAAGACTGGAATGATATCAGTTCCATTCAGCAAGTTAGCAACATGCTGGTCTTAGAACTCCCATGTCACAACTGTTGAAAGTCAGAAAACGTGGATTGAAGGTAATCTACCGTGTTCTTAGAATAAACCTCTCCACAAGAATCTCCCAATTCTGATCGCTCTCGCAGGAGGTCTTGGAAAGCAATGATCTGAAGAAGGACCAATCACCATCCAGAAACGTCATCCAGATTCTTTGCATCTTCTTTACCATTTTGAGAAGAATGAAAGACACCTCACAACGACATGCTGCTGCTGGCCTACTGAAGCGTATCAATCCAGTACAGAATTCAAGTTGAAATATGGTGAAGTGGTGATAAATCTTATATCCTTAAAGCATCACGGATACACTGTGCGAATGCTACACATGACGAAGTGGCAATTTTGGAGCTCAATTCTGGATAGGAACCAGAGGTCGACGATGAATGGAGGTGCGTTTTAACGAACGGTGTACAATGGACCTCGAAAGTGATCAGTATGAGGCACTCAAATCGAAATTCAAAAGCAGCTAATCCACGTTTTCGAAGCTACCATCACGTCAGAACAAACGCAGCATGAGAGCATTCCTATAATCACACGTCGGTCCATGAGGCATTAGGAACTCACCTCTGCACGTGATAGGGGAAGTGGTAAGAGCTCTTTGGAAGTGGAAAGCCTTGGGGTTGAATTGCGCCAGTGAGTAATGCGAAAGGCCTACTTGGATCTGTCTCACCACCGCAGAAAGAATGCAGTTCTAAGCTTTGCACTCTCTCAGTCTGTTTGAAGTTTGAATCCGCTAGCGCCGTTGGATGCTCGTGCGCCTGCATATGGAGGACTGACCTGCAACCTGGAAAGGACTTCAATGCTGAACAACGCACAGAGCTGCGTGTGTTTGGAATTGCCTATGCGCGTTGCTTAGGATGCCAAGTGGCAGCATGCGTTGGCTTCATAATGCCAACTGGTCACATCGTGTCCTGCCGCGTGTCCACGATTTTGATGGGCAGTACGAGACCGTCCGAAAAAAGATTGAAGTTTGTAACCGTCGATAAGGCCCTCGCGCGTTCACCTACTATTTGTCCCGACTTTGACAAATTTGCAGTCTCTCATACCTAGATGGTGCACTTCACAAAGTCAAGACAAGCTCCATACCAAAGAGAAGGTCAAGCTCTTTGTGCCCAGCTTAGGTGATGAGCAAGCAAATTGGCTGCAACATAGTGCCTACGGCTGGTGGTGGCACCTTCTGGAGCTGGGGCGTAATCGCTGCAGGAACAAAGAGGGGACGAATTAGAAATTTAGAAATCTTTTGAATTAGAACCACAATTTCTAGGGCAATGGCCAGAGCTAGTCTATCATGGAGCACTCTGCTTCCTGTCGTGTTGCTTTTGCTGGTTCTTTGCTTCGCCACGTCGTCAGAAGAACATGAACAAAACGAGGGTGGGCGTCTAGTGGCGATCCGCTCTTCAGATGGTTCAAGTAGAAAGCTCAACATCCTGGTGGTTACATTCCATGTCAATGGTCACGTGATGCCACTGATAAGCCTAGGAAACGAGCTCCAATCACGTGGCCATAACGTTACAATTGCTGCAAATAGTATCGAAGGTGATCGAAACCCCGAGAAAGTGGTCAAAGAATCGGGTCTCAGTTTCTTTGAAGCAGGCAACTTGCACAAAACAAAAGTTGAGCTAGAGAAACTGCTGGAAGAACTGGCAGAGAATCCGGTTAACCTTTTGGCTGCTTTCCGGATGTTTGCTAGGATGGAGGTTGATCTGTTCCAAGTGCTGGATCCTCTCTTTGAGGTTGGGAGGGCTTTTGGAGGTACAGACATCATCATTGCGGATGGAATGACCCAGACAGGAGTCTGGTTGGCACAAAAGTTTGATCTGCCGGTGGTCATCAATGATCCTCACTCCTTTGCTGGTGAGCAAGCTTCCTCAAATGAGCAACTAGACGTTTGCCAGGCGCCCTTCTCCAAGACACTTTGCAAGGCTTCAGCTTTCTACGAACACCTAAGTCAAAAGTTCCACCTGACTGAGATTTGGATTAGTTCGAGCTCCAGAGCCCTAAAGAGTGCCATTCAACCAAGAAGAAGATAGGATGGACTTTTGGAGATTGAAGACTGGAGACTGGATGACTTACTTGGTGTATCAAGTTCAGTGCAGTGCAATAAAATTTCACTGTTTAATGCAAGTGCAGCAAGGTTGATGCACCACCAACAGAGCTGATTATCAACCACCTATGAGTCATACCTCATCTAAACTCGGTCTAAAGTCTCAATTTCTCAATTCCTGTTCATCGAGCTCTTGAGACGTTCGCTTTCAGGAATCAATGCTATGAAAGCGTTGGTATCTGACGCAGTTGTCGACCGCCCGTATCCACGTAAGAGGGTTTGACTAACGAAGTCTGTTCACCAGGTTCTCATGGTTCATGTAGACAGGCATGACCATCCAAGAAGGCAAGTGGTCAGCCAAGTGTCTACAGCACAACCGTTGTATTCTTATTTTCAGATAACTCCATAACTCCGCTTGGTTGCTTTGTCCAAATGTGCAAAGTTCCCATACATTTTGCAGCTCCGGAAATGATGTGACGACATGGGACAACTTAAATGAAAACCATTTTCTGCAGCCAAACTGCCTCCCTCTTTGATCTACCCCGTCTTCCCCTCCGGCTTTGACGCGCGCATGCCCTTCCTCAAGCGTCTGGGAAACAGCATCTTCTTCGTAGTGGGGAAGGGACTTGGCGCCTACAAGGACAGCCAGGTACAGAAGCTAGTCAAGGAGCGGGGCATCATGGAACCTCCAGGGTACAAGTTTCTGAGCGCAAGCGTTGGGGACAGATATGTTGCTGAGCCAGTGCTCGTGAACACTGTGCCTGGCCTGGACTTTCCTAGGGAGGCGGGGCCGAACCAGTTTTTCGTGGGTGAGTCTCTCTCCAATCAATGGAGAGTTTTCTTGATCGTTGATCAAAGTACAGGATCGAATTAATTTTACAGCCTTTTTGGTTCACGTACATCCTGCTTTTGCAACACTTTATACGAGTAGGAAATCCGGGACTACTTCCCTTATCTGCCAAGTTTCTTGAAAATTTGAAACTTTGTTGCAATTCGAAGAACTAGGAGCAGATGTGCATTTTCGCCTAAGGCCTCATCTGAAAATGTGGACAAAGGAACACCAGCCAGCCAGCTTGTTGGCATTGCTGGGCCTTCCCTAAATCCTTTCTTAAAGCCTTTCTTTGATTCAACCGCCTTAGACTTTCTCTGTGAGCTTCTCGGACGTTCGATGTGGCACCTTTTACCACTTCCATACAACTGGTGCGAGAGCACTATAAAAGCCCTCACTTTTGGCTGCTCGTTTTGTCGCCACAGCTTTCTTGCAATAACAGGGAAATCTCGTGTACCTTCGTTGGTAGGTCCCCTGTGCTCCTTGTCACTCCTGGACATCCTAAAATTAAACAAGCGCTCCTTTGCGGCGTGTCCTGTGTTGCGGATTCCCATCCCGCTGCGAGGGGTCCCTCACCAGACCACTCTATCCGCATTGCTACCAACCTCGAACAAGTTCGAAAGGTGCAAATCCGCTATCTGGTAGCATCTGATCACCATCCGCTTGCACTCCAGGTCCGCTCGTCTCCTCCACGATCCAGCCGGTCTCTCAGAATATTGCCACGTGGCTCAAGGCCCGGGAGTCCAACCAAGATCCGACGGTCCTCGTCAGCTTTGGCAGCTCGGCCTACCTGAACGACGCGCAGGGCCGGACGTTCCTGCGGGGCCTTATCGACGCCGGCGTGCATGCGATCTGGCCGTGCAGGCCCGGCAATCGCGGCTTCCTTGAAGGTGGGGGCGTTGTCTGTGCATCTCTCTGTGTTTGACGGAACGTTGGAAGATGCTCTCAGTCCCAAGACAAAGCTCACTTGACAGTGAGACGTTTTCAGGTCTGAACAGTAGCTCACCCGGTCTCGTATGATGGCAGAAAAGGGGAAACGCGTTCTGCTTGGTGGCGTGCCAGAATCCGCCGCGGCTCAGCGGCAGATTGGCTCCCGTACGAGTTGTCGTTGTCGTTGTGAGAGTTCGGGGCAATGACCTTCAAGTGTGAATGCGATGAGTGTCACACTCGTAGAACGGGTTCGCATCTTGAGCATACTGTGGTGTAGGTGTGAAAGTCCTCAAAGCGGTTCTTTATCTCTGCGTCTTACTGTGTACGTGCGAAGGTCGTAAAACGGGTCCAAATCTTTGTGCCGTTCTGCGTAGCTGCGAAAGTCTTCCGGCAGTTCGGCATCTCTGCATGACACTTCGCAACTTTAAAATGCGCAGAACGTATTTGTAAACTTAAGTGTCTCAGGGCGAACGGCACCTCCAGGTGATCTGTTTTAATTATGGAAGTCGCTGAGCCCTTTTGCGTAGGTGTGGAAGTGCCGGAGCGCATTCGCATCGAGGAGTGGGTTCCGCAGCAGGCGATCCTGAACCACAGCGCGGTCAGCGGCTACGTGGGCCACTGCGGAACTGGCGGGACGCACCAAACGCTGGCGTTTGGGAAGCCGGTTGTGTGCATACCGTTCATGGCTGGTGAGACCATGGGGTAGCCATCTTTGGTGCCCTACAATCCGAAAGTCCGTTTCTCTTCGTCGGCAGAAGGCAGATCCAGGTCAGAGCTGAACAAACTGATTCACGTCATGAGATCTGAAGCACAGCCCGGTGCAGTTGAAAAGCAGGTGTTTTGGGGCGACAATCCAGAGGAACATGAGGCTCAATGTTCCTCTGAGTTGGCGCCCCAGAATACCTTCTGTTTGATCCGAGCGGAATCGGGCTTTGCTTAACCGTGATTCGTTCTGCTCTTCTTGCAGATCCGTGCGGAAACGGGCTTTGCATAACCGTCAGTATTTGCTCTTCTTGCAGACCACTTCGAGACGGCGGCGCGGATCCGTGCTTCAGGGGCCGGGCGCTCGATCGACTTGCAGACGTTGACCAGCGGCGATGCCGCAACCGTGACCGAGGCGATCCGGAGCATCACGTCTAAGGACAGCCCTTGCCGTATAGCCGCTGAGCGGGTCGCCGCGCTGATGCGAGTGTACGGCGGGGTGACGTCAGCCGCTGACGTCGTTGAATACATTGCCGCCTTTGGGTATGATCACCTGAAGATAGCGAGCTGGGAGATGGGGTGGTTCGCGCGCACTAGCTTCGACGTGCTTGCATTCTGGGCCGCTGCGCTAGGTTTGGTTGCGCTTCTTGGCAGCTTCGCGCTCCGTAGGTTCGTCACTGCGATCGCTCCAGCAAGAAAGCAGAAGGCGGCGTGATATATGCGAAGCGGTCAAAGCTTTCTCGGGTCCTCCGTGTCAAATGTAACTTGTTCTATGGATCTGCAAGCGGAACCTAACGAGATCTGGACCTACTTTCCTTACGCAAGCGAGATACTGCAAGCGAGACACAGCAAGCGAGACACAGCAAGCGAGGTACTTTTACCATAGCTCAGTGAGCGGGACTATTGAAGTTCTATTTGTAATCAAGCGAGCCACAGCAAGCAAGCAACCATTACCTGAGCTCAATGCGCGGAATGTCTGGAAAGTTCTAGAAGACATGTACTAGCCGCAAGCTGTAGATTCTTGAGAAACCTGTACTAGCCGCTAGCTGTAGGTAGGATGTTGATTTGTGAGAATATACTGCCTCGAACCTCGAATCACTGCATACAAACCAGCAGCTGTCCGATCAACTGCACTGACCTCTGATGCCGGCTGAGTTTGGCGCGGCATGGCGTCATTCATAAAAAATTTACCTCGAAAGGCGGCCGAGCATCCGACTGGTCCCTTTTGCACTTAGGGTCCGCTATGGGGGAATGCAAGCCTGTCACGTCGTAATGGTCAACGGTAGAATCCAATAATTACAAGGATCTGGCAGAACCTCAGACCATATATAATGAGTTTCGCTCAACTGATTACCATGCTGTCGACTTGAGACGTGGCCGGGCGGCACTATTCTAGTAAGCTTCTTGGAAATCTTAGAAGACTTATAAGCTGACCTCGGTCACTGGCAGTAGCTCAGTACATCGTTAGTATGCCCATGTATATACATTCAGAGCTTGTGCCATTATGCATATGTGCACAATCGAGGCCGTGGCTATAGAGCTAGCAACGCGTTGCTGAGTGACCGGCCCGCGGGTCACTCAGCGCAGTGCGCGCGGCCATCCTAGCTATAATTACAATGCAACAGGATGAATTACTTTTACTCAAATATAATGATAGCCATATGTGCCGTCATACTTTGACAGCTTCGGATTGTTGATCGTGCATGCTGAGCGATCTTGTGTAAGTTTGTAGCTTGCGCAGACTTGACATGCTATGGTGGCGCCGCTTCCTGGTGCGCGCGCAAGCTGGACATCGACACTTAGTTAACGGCGCCAGTGTGGTCACATAGGTTGATGATGACGGTCTTATCAATCCGACCGGTGCTGGCAGCAGTGTTCAGTGATCATGGCCGCCCACTACATATCATGTCAAATTCTGCATAGCATTGACGCGTGATAGAGTTTTGCATAGACGCACATGTGACTCAGGTTTATCTCCTTTGCTACAGGCAACCCGATCAGTTTGCAAGCCCCTTGCCATTAAGCACTGCACTGATGAACACCAATCGAAGCATCCGAGTGATACTAACCAAGTTGCTGCTGAGGGTCGACTCGACGCAAACTTTTCAAACAGATTCGTTATCGTCGAGTCACCAAGAAGGACTGGATGCTGATCAATATATGCCGGGATGTTAGAACGTCAAATTTAAGGAATCTGCTTGCTGCGGCTGAAAGGTGCTGTCAAATCACTGACTCTGACTCCTCTATCTACGCAGTGCCCCACAAGCTTTCTCAATGATCGCTCTGCCCTACAAGCTCTCTCAATAATGGCTGCCTTAGTTTCTACCAACGACTTCCACTAGCAAAGTACACTGCAGTATTAGTAGTACGATGATAGCAATCGAAAAAGGGTCAAGCGCGCTCTTTGAGCACCCTTTATTGGCCAAGAATCAAGAGACCTTCACGCACTGATAGTCCGGTAACCAGTGGTCGGAACCGATCTCCACCGGCTAACTTTTGACTGGTCAATAACCCTCTGCATAGACTTGTTCACAAGCACCACGTCTTCGAACTCTGCGTCCCAAATGACATCCCCATCAGCCACACAGTAGTACTGCAACTCGAACACGGACTGCATCGACGAGCGCTCCAGGCCAACCTGCACACACCGAACGTTTTTGAGAGCCGGCCTCTTGAAGGCGTTACGCATCCAAGCTGCCTCACTTTCGCAACTCTCGTTGCCACGAACAGGCAGAGTGGTTCAAAATGGTTCCAAAGTGTTGTGCTCAGCACTGCACCTTTTGCAAGTAAGCTTCACCCTGCTCAGCTTGGAACCGGAAGTCTCTTTGAATGCACGATTCTCTGCGAGACCAAACGCCCCCGTTCAGCGAACGTCCTCATTCACACACTACGGCGCCCGCGCACAAGTTCGCTGTAGAAGACCACGCTAAGCTTAAAGACGGCGTTTTCCCATACAAAATTCTCCTCCATTTAAAGTGTCCAGTTCCTAAGCCACACCAAATGGCCTCGGCCGAATCGTCTGTAGGACAATCTCAATCGCAAAAACGCCACGCCCATTATCCTTCCACGAAGTGCTATCACCACGCTGAGCTTGAAGAGGGCGTCTTCGATTCAAGAGCCCAATCTCTCTGCCAGGCCAAAGCGATCGGTCGATGAACACCCTCATTGGCACAATGGTATGCCAGATCAAAAACCCATCATGAGAGTGCTACTCACCACGCTAAGCTTGAAGATGGCGTCTTCCCGTTTCAGCATCTCCTCCGTCCGCCGGTACAGCGGGCTGCTCTCGTCGATGACGTGGCGCACCAGCATGCCGCCCGTCTGGTGGGCCACCTCCGATCGGACCTGCGCACAAATGAGTTCTTCCGTTTCCGGTCCGGTTTCCGGTCCGGTTCCCGTTCCGGTTCCCCATTCCGTTCGCCCACTTTTCCACGTCCCTTTCTCACCAGTCCTCGAACTCTTGGAAGCGGACTGTGGCTTCTTCAATCGATTGAATTACTCCCAAAATAGCTGCATCGTTTGTTGCTCTGGCGTTGCTCTGGCAGCCCTTAATCTCATTGCTGCTCTTCCAGCTCGACAATAGTCAACTTTTCCTCGCACAAATTTCGAGCCCGCAGATTGTCAACGTCAAAAGTAAGCCCCCTCGATCGCTCCAAGAAGCACAGGGTGGACCAGGAAAGTTGCACAAACTTTCGCTTAGGTGATTCACAAGCTGCCACGTGGCACTGTCCGACGCACCAGTTTCAGCGACACCTGGCGGTTGAAGTAAGAGCCGTTGCGCGTCAGCGTGTTGTAGTGAAATGTCAGGTCCACCTTCACGTCCACCAGCTCCGAGGGGCGCGTCCCCACCAGTACGTACCTGGCCATGAGCACCCTGCAACGAAAGGCGACAAGATAGGTGAGCTTCGCAGCAAGATGGCGCCACGTGAAGGAGTGGGAAAAGGTAACCCGAAAAAAGAGGACACAAGTATAATGCGTACCTGTCCAATCAGCACCCTGCACGAACGGCGACCAGAGAACCAGCCTGCGGGCTACAACGTCGCTCCGGTCCCGAAGTTCTCGTGCCTTCACCAGCAGGCAGAAGGCAAAAGATTCTTTCGGTGGCCCAATGAGAAACCCCATTAAGACGAAGATGCAATTGTGCCAAGAGGTCAATGAACCAGTCGCTTTAGATCGTGCGTTGGTTCGGACGGGACTGACAAGCAAGGACATCAATCGAAAATTGCATTATATGCCGCGAGATTAGGATGCATGCCGCCCATGAAGAGCAGGTCGCGTCTTCTGTGCGCACATGCCAACAACGCTGGTGCGCTGAAAGACCGAAGAGTCCGCGCGCCAGTTATCTAATCTTGCAAACCTCGTGGTCAACCTCTCTAGACAACCAACCAACGTCGAAGCCCCACCGCAACAAGCACCGCATCCCTTGAAGGGAATTTTAGATTACGATATAATAGGACTCAAACGAGTCGCTGCGGAAAGAGAGGCTTACTTGTTACTCCACTCTTTGCCGGACCGGTTCTCGTGGCAGGGGGGGCAAATGAGGGCCACCGTAGAGCACCGGATGGGCCTCGACCGTTGCGACAACCGAGCAAACACTGCAAAACAGACGAAGATTCTGCGTCAATGGACAGGAAGGTGGGCTTCTTTGTCTGTATTAGTCGCAGTCTGTTTCTATAACGGCCACGCTGCTCTATGTTTTGGTAGGCGCAAGGTTCCAGGACTGGCAGCCTTGACGCATACCAATCGGTTTGGGAGAAAATGGAAGCCCACGAGATGCTGAACGGATGCGAGGCGGATGCCGAGCAACAACTTGTCGTTTTGATTTGTTGAGGGCAGCCCATTGAGGGCCATCCAGTCGTCTTGGGACAGGACCATCAGGAAAAATTCAGACTCTGCTGTCAGATCAGTGTCCATGATTGAAGAGCTTATGCTGAGGACAACATTCACATATTGCATGCCACACCAACTGAGAGAACGTGAAAACGGTTCCAGACACCGAGGGAGGTACCGACGAGCAAACCATGCCCCTGTAAAATGCAAAGAACGAACGACAGGAAGCTCCGGGCAGGAACTGAGAGGCAGGAACCAAGGACGCCAGAGAAGGACTGAAAAGCAGATAGGTGTGATTACTTGCCGGAGCCACTGAGGAAGACGAAAAGCAGCTGGGCGAGGAGCGCATTCACATTGGCGGCCACGAAGGAGAAGGGCGTCACGGGGGCTAGCACGGGCTGCAAGCCGGTCGCCAGAGAGAGGCTGAACATGAACACCTGAAGAGAGAGACAGAGCGAGAATTAGAGTAACTCCACAATGCCCTGTCAGAGTGGCAAAATGGCTTCAGATGCTAACAGAGGCTTACCATAACGCCTGGCGAGGCGGACAGAGCGATTGATATTGACTTGGTAGTGGGCTTTCGAAGTGGAGACAAGAGACGGGTTTGCACATCCAAAGCCGCTAAAGAGAGCAAGTGCGGCTATAGTGAGCAGAACAAGTCGAAGAATGACTCGGGGTATGTGTGAGGTTCCTGTATGCTGGTCCGTAACCACCTGACTTAAAGCACGATCGTGGCGGAGTCGAGACGCTACACTTCAAGAGAACTGGATAATAGAACATCAATAAAGGAACGTCCGATTGAACATATACAGAATGTGTTAAACATGTGTCCGTTTGGTATATTTGATAAACGAACACGTGGTCTGGGGCAAAAACAACCAATTACTCGAACAAAGGGGGCTGCTAAACAAGAATCTTCAATTTGGCAATAGTAAGCTTTAGCAATAGTAAGGTAACCAGCCTGGGACGGGTAGGGTTAGTTTGGAGGTTAGGATGGGTTCGGGTGCGGAGCGGGTAATTCCGTGGGTTAGGATTTTAGTGTTAGTGCGGGAGCTTACTTTTGCTAGAGCTTACTATTGCTAAATTGAAGAGTTATCTGCTAAACGGAAATAACCGCGGGTCCTTTGGCAGTCTCCCTCACCTGGAACAGCGCGTACCAGTGCGCCTCCGCCACGTGTCCCCCCTTCTGCAGCCCGTCATAAATGCTCTGCACGCTATCGTCCGGAACTAAGCCTTGCATATCTAACAGGTAGACCCCGGTGAACACCAAACTCATGAGCAGCGGAAGAACCACAACGACGAGCGAGAACTGGAGCGGCGGCAGCTTGAGCGTGAACGTGTACGCGTCGGAGATGACTTGCATCAGGTTCGCGCCGTCCGAGAGCACGCGCAGGTTGTCCAGCCCCGCGCGGCCGCGCAGCTGCGGGCCGGCCTGGTTGCGGAACGCCTCGAACTCGGTGTCGCCTGCACGGGTTAATGTTTCAGAGGTTTAGCGGTTTAAGGGGTTTGCCGTTTTAGGGTTCGAGCAGTTTTGAGAGCGCGCACAGATCGAAGCTCCGCGCGGCCGCGCAGCTGCGGGCCGGCTTGGTTGCGGAACGCCTCAAACTCGGTGCCGCCTGCGAGGTTTCACAAACCCCAGGGGTTTAGGTCTAAGGGGTTCGAAGAACTTGGATTCGAGCTGTTTTGAGAGTGGCGCAGGGTGTCCGGCCGCGCAGCTGTGGGCTAGACTTGTTGCGGAGCGCCTCGAACTCGGTCAATTTGATTTATTATTTTTGATTTAGAAGTAACCTGTTTATTTCCGTGGGCTGTTTATTTCCGTGGGCTGTTTGTTTAAAATCAATTGGTAGTTTTGGTGTTTGAGTATGCGAAGCAAAGCAGTGATTGGCCTTTTTGCGGAATGCCTCATATTCGGTAACGCCGAAACGAAGGAGCCGAACAGGGCAGTGAGTAAGAGAGTCTAGTTGGATAGTACGATTCCCACTATATTGAAGGAAAGCAGGGAGAGGCTAGATCTCAGGGGCTGCAGGTGCTTAGAAATAACGACTAACGGAGGACTTGATTCAGAAACCCAAGAGGTTGAGATCAATATCAAGATCATTGGACGGAGGATTTCTGTCGGTTGGAGTGAAGTAGGAGGGTCTGTCAACAACGGTGCAAATTTTGACTGACGGGCGCCAAGTCCTCAGAAGGCTCAACTCTCAATTCCGGGTAGAATGTCACAGGCAAGACGTTTCCAAGTGGACGACGGCGATCCATCCCAGATCTCAAAGTAGGACTCCATATTGACTTCTGCATCCGACTGGCATCCAGAGCCCTTCGCCTCGCTGACGCGGGGACTTCAACACTACCTCACCAGTCGACCTTGCACCAGTCGGATACGTGGGTCCAGCAACGAGGGAGACGCAGCGTCTCCCAAACAGCAGCAAAGAAAAGCGCAGAGGGAAGACCAGATGCGGATGTCGGCCTACCGAGCTCCTCTTCTTCCGTCATGAGACTGACAACCGCCTCGCCAACGTCACCCACTGTTTCCGCGACCGTTGACGTCACACTGTCCACAGTCTCAGCCATTGACGACGTCACCGTGTCTACCGTGTCGGCAACAGTCTCGACGAGCGCAGATACCGACTCCCCGGCCGATTCAACGGTATCAGTGATCTGGCCAGCACAGAGTGACGTCAGCGGGTTTGTTTGGGTGGTTTCGAGGAAAGGGCCAGAGTCGCAGCAGAACGATTTGTGCTTGTGTTGAATCCGGCATGCGCAGAAGGAGATGTGGCAGAAAGAAGAACATAGAACACTCAGAACGACTGAAGCGGGAAACGCGTTACAAAGCGGGAACGGGGCGAAGTGTGTGGTTTTCACACCCCCAAAATGGACGTGCAGAGACTGATGCCTTCGTACAAGCAGAGCGAGTATCACTCCGTTCGTCTTTTAACAGATAGAAAAGTTGCCGGAGTTATGAAGTCACAAGAAATGCAAACGAGGCGCGAGGGTTTGCCTGCGCTCCCAGGCTTGCCACAGTCTCGCTGATCGAGTCAGTCACCTCCTCTACCCCGCTGCTAACCACCTCCATAACCTGCTCGCTTAGCTGGCTAACCGTCCCCGTAACCGCGTCGGTTGCCCCACTCACAGACTCAACCACAGCCTCCCCAACCGCGCTCACAATCTGTGGTGGCGAGGAAGCGGGAAGAAAGACACGAGTGTTGACACGAGTGTTGAAAAACCGTTTGCGTACTACGAAGGATTGGACCAACAGTCGAAAGCAGGTACGAGACACTTGAGGAATCATCCAGCTTCCAACTTCTAGAATTTGACCAATACATTTCAAGTTCCTGAAGTTTTGTAGTCCCTACACCTGACAAAATCGGATTGATATTCCCATCTTGTCGAAAGAGAAGTCCGTCGTCAAAAAAAAACTCAGTTCGTCATCGTGGGGTTTGAGAAGGTGGGGCATGAAAGTGGGGCGCAACAGCCGAAACATTTAAAAAAAGTAGAAAAGTATGTTTTAGGTGCTTCCCCAGCAAGAAGCACCTGAAAGGATCATCAACTAAACAGCACACTTCTCAGCGCCCAGAGAAGCCCTCGTACGATCACAAAAAGCAGCCTAGTTATAAACGTTAACTTCAGCTCCAGAAAGAACATGCCGCTCTAACTAGCAACCCAATCAGCGAAAGCGGCAATGCTTGGCCAAGATCATGTCACAAACGCACTTTTATGAGAGTGCGTGTCCAGAACAAAGCGCAGCACTGAGGACACAACTGCCCAATGTAACACCACAAAGTATACTCACTTCGCAATCATGCCGAAAGCAGGTCACCAAAGTAGAGCACAAGAAAGTTTTACGCACCTCGCCCCCAGTCTGCGCAGAATCGACTAGATTGTCAACCAGGCTGGACGCCGCTCCCAACAGCCCCGCCCCGACCCCGGCAGCCTCCCCCTCCTTCACGAGGTCCTCAACACGCTTAGCAGCCGCCGCCGTCACGACAAATGCACAACCCGAATGGAATCTCAACTGAAGAGCGCCACTACTGATGTCGCTCTTGGAACTGCTCGATCCTGCCTGCAAGCTGCTCGCAATGCGGTCCAGTAAGCTCTCCTCTTCCACATCGGTGCTCGTTTCCGAAGGCTCAGCGCCGTTCTGGGATAAGGTTTCTTTTTGTTCCACTGCTGTGCTCGCTTGCGAAGGCTGAGCGCCGTTTTGGGATAAAGTTTCCGTCCTTGCCACTGCCAGTTCGCCTTCCCGCATCCTTCCGTTGAATGCCTTGCTCCTCTTCAACTTCGGCGCAGCGGCCTTCTTCTTTTTCACAGGCTTCTCTTGGGCCTCTTTCCTGATTGCTCTGCTCCCCTCCGCTTCCGTATTAGAACCAACCCCAGCCTTGTCCATTGACGTCTTCCCCTTCTTCTGACTGGTGACCTCAGTTCTGTCCTCATCCACACTTCTGCTGACCCCATTTGCACTTTCCAAACTCGTGCTGCTCCTACTCTTCTTACCCGCTACCTTCTTCCCGCTTTTTGCCGTCTTCTTAACCTTCTCTTTAGGCAAAGCAGTTGACACGGTTACTGATCTCAGCATCCCCTTTTGCTCCATGTCTGGCTCACGGCTGGCCGCCCCGTTCTTAGAGGTTCCCTTTTCTTCCGAAGTGGAGGCAAGCACCCGGTCACTTGGAGACGCCTCTTGTTCTGCCAAGCGGGAAAATCAACGATATTGTTCAAAAGAGCAGTGTGAGGATTGAAGGAGGCACAGGCAAGACAAGTCCGCTACTTGCGTTTTATATTCTTGGGGCCTAAGTTGACTGTCCTTTCGATTGGGCCAGCAGATTAGGTCAAATCACCCTAACTTTGAGCTCAACGCCCAGTCTGCGAAGTCAGCTCATCAGGGGAAGCACGATCTCCCCCAAAGGAAACTTCACTTTGATGCCCTTTCCCAAGGGCTTTCATACAGATTGCACTGGTGTCTTTGCAAAGCTACTCAACATCCAGCCACCCTTTCACAAACTTTGCAGAAGCGGATGCCTGGCTCACCTTCCACAGGCTCCTCATTCCCCGCACTTCTCTCCTCTGTACTTGCATCCTCCGCCAGGGGAGACGGCACTTCATTTTGATCATCGTAGTCAAAAGAGTCCCCATGAACACTGCCGTAGATGGGGGCATCCTCGAGAGAAGTGTATCGCTGGCAGCCATGAAAGGAATTGGTTACAGTTACCAATCAGGCTTCCAGAAAATGGAGAGTAACATTTCGAGAACCTCCCCGGGCCGAAAACCTCTATAAGACACGAACTCCTGCTCCGTGTCTGCCTCTGACAAATTAGCCTTGAGTTTGATTAGCATAATCAGAACAGTTGCCACAGGTGTCGCTCTTCTTAACAAACACCAACGGCACAGCTTTGCTTGTTGAGCGCAAAGACCTTCCTACTGTGATTTCGAGGCATGATGAACAGTTGTTCTACTGATCTTGCAGTTCATCAGCCGGGATTATCCGCGCGCACTATGTGCCACACCACCGCCAAAAGACCAATTTGCTCTAAGGAGAGGGCAGCGAAAGGAAGACACAAGGGACGGGAAGAGGAGTCATTTTCTATTGGGCATGAAACCCCACACACCTCATCCATATTGTCATCGTTTTCCTCCCCATCCCCGTCCTTTGCCCGGCGGATGCGCTTCCTCCCTCCCCTTGTCCGAATCACGCTGGCGGCATACCTCCCCGACCCCACTTCCGAGCTTCTTCTGCGTGCAGGACTGTTTATCGTGGTGGCAAAAGCTGCTTGATGCTCTGAGCCGGGCACCGCCAAGGCAGACTGACCGCTGCCCCTTCTCTCAAGGCTCCTGTTGCCCAACAACGAAAGTGTCCGCTCAGTCTCTTGCCGCTTTGAGCAACACGGAGAGTGCCAGGGCGTGCGGCAGCGTTGCAGGGAGGTATCGGTGTGCATGTGCCGAGGAGGATACATGCACGTGGCTGGCCACTGCAGGCTGGAACGGACCCAATCCTGTGGAGCACGCACAGCGACTCCGCTGAATGAGACGGTAGACATCGAACAAGATGCTTTGAGTGCCATCAGCACTATGACCGGCAATGCCCACGCCGTTCACGCGGTCTTTTCCCTACCTAGGCAGACCTGCAGAAGCCGGATCGAAGCACCATTAGCTGCTGCTTGATAAATTTACAATTCAACAACGCATTGAACAAAGCGTCCTCACAGATCTCAGCTTGGCCTTGAACGTTTTGACATTGGTGCTTCTAAATTTTGAACAAGCAAAGCTGGTTCCGCAGCGGCACGTAGCGGAACGTAGCGGCGGCCGCCGATCCTAGCGCGGGCCAGCGCGAGGCGCGGGCGGCCGCCCGGTCCGTTTTGAATGCGGGCGCAGCGGCCGTGCTGGGCCGCTCTGGCGAGCTGGCAGGGGTGGGCTTGCGGTGGCTAGACTTAGTAGATTAGTAGAGTACAGCAAGAGTACAGCCGTGCAAATGTTTCGAGTCCAGCCTGGTGGCTGCAGCCTTGTGCATGTGCAAGAGGACGTTGCACTGGCAACATGACCGCTATAGCAAGCATGCTCATACACTCGCAACTTTTGATCCAGGCGTCCCATTCATCTGGTCCGGGATGGCTTGGCCAGCGTCCATTCGTTCCATTATATTCGTTCACAATCTCGGCTCGGATGAAGGAGTTGGAACCGGGGAACCGCGAAAACTCCTCAGCCTGATCGAGGAGCTTTTGCATGCAAATCCAAATGCGGTGTGTGCGTGGCAGAAGCGCGCCGGGCATCGCATGGCCCGCCGGGCTTTGAACAAGCTAGAGTATTAAGCTTTCAGACTTTGAGTCACCCAAAAACTGCGTTCGATGGATAAAATTGGCTTGACTGAGTGATTCACTCTCGAAACTTGGGCCCCAGACAGACTTAGTGCACAGAAAATACGACTCGACCATACAAATTGTTGTATAATTTGAAGTACGAATCACAATGAGTCTGCGGTGCACCTGTAAGCCGCCTACAATGCCAAGCGGCTGCTTCACGTGGTGCTCTAGCATAACATCAGAACATATTGTCAAATCACAACATCTGACGGTACGGCATATACACAAGAAAGTCGAAAGCAGAACATATTTTCAATGCCTAATATGATCAATTGTTGCAGACCATGCCGGCACCTTTCTATCTTTAGCTGCATTTTGGGCAAAACGAGCAATTTGACTCTGGATGCCAAGCTTCAGACATGTTTATGTCGCTCAGAATCTGACACAACTTGGGAGAGAACTTGTCAAGCAAAAAGACTGTACAGCGAGCCGTGTTGTCTGTAATCAACGTTTTCTCTTCAACCATCTACCTCTTCTTGTGGTTGAAGTAACAAGTAGAGTCCCAAGCCCACAAACGGGATGGCACCTATTTTGGCAAGACCCCTCTCTGACTCTGACTTTGCAGAATCCAACACCAACCATGCTTGGAAGATCGAATACAGAATGACATCCCAAACAAACGCAAACATCACACGGTCCGACTTCACGAGCCCCCAGAAATACTGAATTCGCTCGTCGATGCCCCCAAAACCCATGTCTGCTCTTCCGAAAAAGCCCCAATAAACCATGAAGGTGCCTATTACCAACCCAACAATGCCCAAGGCCTTCTTGCCGCCCAGAATGTTTCGTGCGAACGCGCGAGCCCAGGAAGGGTCATCGTTGTCCGATCCTTGTAAAGGCAAGTCTGCATCAGGACGGCCAGATCGTAGAGCCATATACGGGATCGCGAAGACTGCATTAACGAAGAGAGGAGCGCGTCAAGCAAGTAGTACGAGCTAAAACTCTTGAGGCAAGCGGAATGTTTAAATATATCTCGTCTTTCTCCCCAAACGTGTGTGAGCATTTCACTTCGACGCAATGAAAATATGAAGCAGGATCCTTCTGGTGTGAGAGTGTGTCTTGGACTTCGATGAGCGTTTGGTGAAACAAGATAGTCGATTTGCTGAAGGCAGGGACTGTCACAGGTGTTTGATTGTAGTAGACACGTCAGTTCAACGGAGAGAAAATCCACGGCGAAGCCAAAAAGTCCTCTGGTATGAACAACAACCTGACCCGCCGTTGTTCTCTTTTTTGTAAGCTGATTGCTACTCCACATTGAGATGCCTCAACTGCCGTCAAACTACTAGTGCTTGACTTTTCCTTGGCCAAATCTGCTCTCCTTTTCTGTGCCGTGTAGAAAAGTTCTACTTCGCCGGGCAAGAGCTGGCAACACAGTTTGCTCACTTTTGGTTGTGACCTTTTCCAGGTGTCAACAACGGAGTTCACAACAGAAAGTCGACTCACCGTTTGTAATAAACATCGTTCCCAGCCACAGCAGCTCCTTCGTCTTCAGGCTGACCTTGCGCTTGTCGCCGATGATCAGCGGCGCCAGCATAATGCTCCAGATGATGACGAAGTTAAAAAGGCCTTCGTTAACCTGCATACGAACACCGAGCATGTGACCCACGAGGAAAGCGTCACTGAGTTGCGTTGGTCAAGCATCTCTTACCCGGTACGATCGTACAAGAGCTCACCCTGAGTGAATGAAATTTACAATGAAAGAAGCGGCACACATGTTTGTGTCGTTTCTCAGCATCGCTTGGCGCCCCGTCTTGGGCCTGTTGTACTTACATCCGGAAAAGAGTCGACGACGTCAAGACTTGATAGCGGCCAGAGACGGCATACGAACAAACATCGGACGTATGAAGGAGCTGAACAGATTGCGTCTGAGGATGCATCAAACAGTGCTACTCTTAACTGTCCTTTTGAAGCTCGAAGAAAGTGCCTTGCCAGGGCCGTTGACAGCAACCCCGCACAAACGGAATCAGCAATTGTGCACTTCCTGGGGTCCAATAATCAATCTGGCGGCAAGCTTCGGAATTCAGATCAAGGTGTCAAAGAGTCCTCACCGGATGCACAGTGGGCGCCTCCACCACATGCACTCCAACTGCAGTCGACAAGGAATTGACAGTGATCAATCTTTCAAACGGTGCACTCCCTTGAAAGGTGCTTCTTGCGGATTTCAACGTATCAACTTGCCAGTCTTAGTGTACCCATCCAGCTCCCAAGAGCGAAAGTGTCACTAACCTTGTTCAAAGGAGAAACAGGCCAACGGAGAGTTAGGAAAATCTGGCAAGAGAGGGTGGTGACTTGCTTCGGATGGTCGCCAAAAAGGCTTCCCAGCCCTTTTGAGTGCAAAGAGCTTATCAAGACACACATATGTCGCTTGACCAAGCAACCTGATTTACGCAGACCTTGCAGAGGCTCTACGTTGCCTTCACAGTAGTTGGTTGAAACTAAGACCACAGATCCCACTTACTGATCCAAATAAAGGGGGCTGCATTCATTTTAATCTCCCCACAAAATGTGACTCCCGGCAAGCATTGTAGGCCGCGGATATCATCTACTCTAGTTGGCAGAGGCTTCCTACTTGCCTGTATTGAGCCCCGTCACAACGAGCATGAAGTTGAAGGAAAGATCCAGGACCTCCTGCCACGCGGGTGGTTTCATGCCCCAGATAGGATCGCCCTGCAAAAGTTACCAAACAATGTCAGTCTGGTCTCCCATGACCGGACTCTACAATCTTCACATGCACATTCACCCAAGCACGCCCGTTTACAGTATCCAAAGTTCCAGGAACAAGTGGGTCGTAGCACTCCTTACAAGCAATATATGCACACAAGTTGTGGGAGGGCGACTTACAGCTCATTGACATCGAAGTGCTGACTTCATGGCAGATCACTATAGATTGAATCAAGCAGAAATCCTCGGAAACAATACATGCATCAGGCATAGCATTCCACTCAAAGCTGATCAGATGGAGATAACCTGAAGCCTGACCACATTAAGTATTCATCTGCTCCCACTTCCAGCATGTAGATCCTTTCTTGTCTTCTGCTTTCCTCTCTGTTCCTGCCCCTTCCTCATCGCTTGACACAGGTGTCCTACTTTCACGCAACTTCCCTTTTCCTATATTATAAAAGTTTTGCCAGCCACTCAGGAACACCACCTGATCGTATGTTCTCCAGCTGGTCTGCATTACTGAAAAGCACCACTCAAGAGAAGACTGCCACAGGTGGTGGCAAAGTACATCAAGGACTTGTCAGGGACACTCACAGGTGCCAGGCCCGGTCCAGTGGGCAGAAAGATCATGTACGCCATGTATGCAGCATAGAAGCCCCACATTGCTTTCTCTAGAGGACTCCCTGCCCGCTGATCTGCTTGTGCATCCCGACTTGAGGCCCCGTTTTCATCAGTTGGGGGCTCTAAAGTCTTGGTTTCGTTCTGGTTTCCTGATGAACTCCTTGAAGACATTTGCTGCCTTCCCTTTGCCTTTTCAGAATTTGTAAGTAGCTTTGCGCCAAATTGCTGTTGACTACCAGCATGCAAGCGGCCCTGACTGTCAAGTGCTGACATACTTGAAGTGGAGGATTGCATGCGATTGGAAAGGAGAGCTCGGAAGCATGAGCTTCTTGTCAGGCAGGGGCTATTCGTAGCTGTTGAAGTGGTTGAGCTGGCACGGCAAACAGGATGCGACTTCCGTAACTTCTGTCGCTGAGTCGATACTAACCCATTTTCAGTTCCTAAAGCTACTCTGGCTGCTGAGCAAGACGCCATGTTTGAAGATGCTTAGCACTGCCGCTTCAGTTGGTACCAGAAGAATGCTGTTCTGACTGCTGCATGAGGGATTTTGCCAATGCTGCGCTCTGCGCATAACAACGTGCGGCGTGCTACTCTAGAAGTAAGGCTACCTTTGACCGTAGAAGACAGGACCTTTCGATCAATTTTCGGAGCCGTACATCCGTCGATGCCATTCCACACATGAATGCCGACACGTGTTGTCTTTTGCACCGTTCCCCTGGCTGGCGAGCTTGCCATCCGACGGACACGGATCTCCGAATCAAGAGGCATGAAGCAGGATGATCCCTCGTGGCGTGAAGAAGGCAAAACTCTACCAGTCCTACGTCACACAGGCACTCGTGTTCAGAGCTTCAAAGTTTCCCGCCCCTTGATCCCTACTCAAGAGGCGGGTATGGTGCGTATGTGGCCAACACTGCAGACTTTCGCATGGCTCAGTGCCGCAAGGAATCTACCGCGGCGGCCCAGTTCTGGCATGCACCATATCAACAAACTTCGACTAACATAGATCATGCATTTGATGATTGAGCTACTACTGCGTTGCTTGCAGCAGTCAGCCACGCATGCTCATACTTCGTAAGCGGCAGTCCAAGCTTTCTATAGTTCGGAAACATTCCGCTGGTCAAAGGGTCCCCGTCAATTCGTGCGCCGATCTTGTAGCGAGCTCTTGGTGCATCTACTTTCAATCTGGAGAGCTAGTTATTCTGGTCACCGGCTTGGCAGATGGTCGGCCTGTCTCGCTCGAGCCAAACCCGTTGAAGGCAGGGTCTGAGCATGCTATCATTACAGGGTAGCATGACCTACATCCAATCGTTTGCATGGCATCGCAGGAAGAAATCTCACTACCATCCGGCTAAGGGCAGGGTTTCCTGGTGACTCGTGAGGCCTTGCGAACGGGTTGGGCTAAAACTTGGGAGAAGCACGGATTTGAAAGTACGGCTACTTTGCCCTCCATCAAGTTTCACACAGCCGTCCGCTGAAAACGAACTGATTGCATTCAAGATATATCGGCCACTTGAGGAGGATCCTCGGCAGCCTGCTATAAGATCAGTCTTACAAGCTCGTCGAAGGTCTTGACATCCTCCTTCCACAACCAGGCTTGCATACCAGCGGCTTTTGCTCCATCGACATCCGCCGTACGGTCGTCGCCAATGTGAGCAGCTTCGCTTGACCGGCTTATGCTCAGAGCACCTGCATCGGAGATCAACGGTTAAGAAGTATGCGATAGAATGATAAAGGAGGACGCGGCACCTGGAGTCGTAGAAACCTTTAGGCTACAATCGAGTCCTCGACGGGTCCATTTTGTTCATGCACTCAACTCTAACCAAAGACTCTGGGGGCTTGTAGTCAAGGGCGAAGGCGTGAACCGGCCAGGATATACAAGTCTCCCTCTACCCGTTACGACACCATAAACCGAAGGAGATTTTCCCGGGTCGCTATCCTGGAGCCCTATTCCGCCTGGCTGAAAGCCAAGCCTGGGACCCGGGGACAACCATCGCTGGCAGTATCTCAGTTGAAATATTAAACCAAACGCTGCTCTGACTTTCGCAAAAGCTGCCGCTTACTACAAGGCCTCCGCCCGTTCTCGGATCGTATTTCAAAGACTTTGCTGCGAGTTCGAGGAGGAAACGTAGGTGATGTTATGTCAATCTGAGCTGCTTCAATGATGGACTCACTCAGTGCAGCCTGGAAGATCTCCGTCGCCGGCTTCTCGTGGCCGACCTCCGCTGACACGATGATTGCATCAAACCTGCAGAAGCCTCGATGACGTCAGAAGGCTCCCTCAAACGGCGGAGTAACGAGCACGACGAAAGCCGAAGGAGAGCATAGATAAGGCTCTCGGCTCGACGCCCTAGCATGGCGCCGGCAGCATTTCCGGACTGAAAAAACACTCCTAAACGACTGCTCTTATGTCAAAGCAAGAGTCGGGCCTAGGTAACTCACAGGTCGGACACTCCAAGATCGTCCAGCACGGGCCTCAGGCGTGTGTCGAAGTTGGAGACGACGCCAAGCTTAACTGCAAGAGAAATCTACAAGGTCGAAGCGAGTACGCTGCAGTGAGAACCTCGTAAACTCTGGCGCTCTAAGTTCGTCGCCGATGCCAAGCATGGTCAACGAACTAAGATACACTTTGATGTTTCTACGTGAGAGTCTGCATTCGACCAAGAGGCCGTGGATGAGAGGCGCGTCCCTGTCTTCTTCGCTTACAAAGAAAGACTACTGCAGCCATTGATTCTCCAATACGAATCAAAGTTTTCCTTCGGGCAGCCAATCTCCGATCGAAAGGTATGCACAGTAGGCATGCATGGGGACCTTGAGGTGTCCCTCTAGCGAACTGATCGCTGATTCAAAGCAGGGCGAAACACTCCAGCGTCGCCCAACGAGAGTCTCGAGCTGCAGGTCAGTCTGGAAGTTTATTCAAATAGTCAAGGAGCTGCGCGAAACGAGCTGCCCTTAGGAGAAGGAAGACATATCCGGCTTACCACCCGCTGCTTTCAGCTTTGACAAGGCCTCTTCAGCCCCATCCTCGACTTTCCAAGCATCGCCTCGACTATAGTGCTGCAGACAGATTTGGGGAGAGAGTGGTTGATAGGAGAGTGAATACAGCAAGTCGATTCCAGGGGATTGCCGAACAGCAACTATCAAGGCAAATCTTAGGCTCCCGTTGCAATGAAAGGGGACCCAACTGATCCATCCTGGAAGAGGATACAAGGGCTAAAGCGTGGGCAACAAGAACTACAGGGCATGTGATATCCGACTGCTACCGAAGACTACAAACCAGACCGAGGAAGCTGATGGGTGCCAAACATGTTCTCGAGTTTTTAAGATTCAAAATTAGAATTCTTTTTGACTTCCGATCCCGATCTGATCAAGAACCCCCTCACCAGATACAGTTCTTCAAAGTAATCAGTGTTGTCACACCCTGTGGCAGTAGCGACAGCATGCCGCCAAAAGGGCCGGCCGTCACCCTGCGCAAGACATCTACTGTATGAGTGTTCAGGTCCACGATCAAGATAGGGGGCCACGGGTGAAGCAGAGTAAGTAATTTACAAGAAAGCAATGTCAGGTCCGAGCTAATCTGAAGAAATCTTTTCTTCAAGTGATTCAAGGTGTTCGACGAATGTATGATTGACCATTTTGGGGAAGAAAGATTTCGTACATTATGACCGAATCGTTTGCAGAGGCAGAATCCTGCTTCCGTCGAAATTCTGAGAGTGATGCAATCTGGACAATAAGCATGCAAGCGAGCGCCAAAGCCTTGGAAGCTTATCCCCTTGGAAAATGGGCTATGTGACCGCTTAAAAACGACTGGCACCATCCATCTTCTTGACTCACTTAGACACTAGGTTGTCGGCGCATCTCGAGCATATGCAGGGAAGAGGCTTTCAAAACACACCTTTCAAAGCCGAAGAGTTTTCCAAGAGCAGAAAGGAGACAGGGTTCTTACGTGCCTCGTAACGAAGGCGGTCAGGCCATGGCTTTGCAAAGGCTGCCTTGAACCCCTTCTTGATGTCGTCAGGGGTCGCCGTTACTCCTGCAGCAAGATTGCTAGTGATTGCAGTGATAAGCCTTGATCTCGTCTAACATTTTGCCTGGGTGTCAGAGAAAAGCGCCTTTATCTACCAGCTCCAAGCGGAGATGATTGAGACTCAGAACGGCAGACATCGACCTTAATGAAGTACTGCACCATCTCTGTGGGGCACAAAGCGGCTGAATGGACTTATTGAGAAGAGATGTGAACAAGCAGACCAGAATTGACCAGAACCTATGAGTTTCCGCAAGTTCCTGTGGTCAGAACTTTCATTGCTACCAGAATTCTAATGAGACAGCGACTATGGGAACAATTCCAACACCAGTCACCAGTGCTCTTGGAGGATCTTTCAGAAAGTCCTTCGATTTCGCTAAAGGCTCAGGGGGGCGCAAGGAAATGTTGCTCACCATACTTCTTCCCAATTTCGGCATACGCCTCAGCCACAGGCACTGACGTCTTGAGAAACGTCCCCCCAATGTCCACAGTCAGGGCCTTGTATCGTGGCTCCTGGCTTGAGGAAGATGCATGGATTCCTTGCTTTTCTAAAAACCGCTCCTTTCTGCAGAAGGGGGGGCTAGCCAAGCAACGTCCAAAGAAGAGTGTTCGCAGCTGACCTTCACAGATCGCAACTTTCCGCAGGTGAGAGGCAGCAGCTAGGCCTCCAAATCGAGCACATTCTGACGCCGGCGCCGCACGATGGAGCTGGATAGTTGGACGGGCCAGCATTTTAGATCTACCAAGGGTTTCTTTCAATACGGATGCGTCCAATGCTGTGCACGCACCGATTCTCTTTGGGAGCCGAGACGCAACAGCTCTCATCTCGACCAGGGAACAGGCGAAACATCAACAGATGAGCGTTCCTGAGCTTTCTAGTGCTATTGTCATTGATTGATCAGTGCTCGGATAAGAGTGAATTCAGAACTGCTCAGATCGAGCCTAGGAGTCAGAACCCCAACTTTCTGGCCTGCTTTTCGAGAGCCAAAAATCATCTGCTCTAGGCTCTAGTTCGCAACAATTCTTGCTGAGTGAGAACTTAGATTCGACGATAACCATTATCGAACAGCCATTGAAACCAGACACTGCCGTCGAAGTTGAAGATGGTCGAAAACGCTTTGCTTTTGGGAAGACGCCAAGCGGCTCTCCTCCCCGTTTCTCGTCCTCTTTCACCCAGGGGCCTGCTCGGAAGGGTGCGCAAGGGCCGCCAAGATGGTGAGTCAGGCGCTGAGACCGTGGGCACCTTAGGTGCTCTTGAGTGCTCGGGCTGATTGGTTGCCTGTACAATAGGGAGACTGATTTTGTATGTCGGTGTTATGTTTTTGGTGCTTGGAGAGGTGTCCTCATTCTGCGTTCCTTCTGCTGCAGGTGAAGTACGCGAATGAGCCGGATAGCAGCACCAAGAGTGAGTTGCTATTCTTTGTTCGAATGTAGACTGTCATTTACCTCTTGTTTGTATGCTCAGACAGGAACAAGGGAAGTGCGGTGTAATGCTCCTTCCTGCTTTTGTTGTTGGCGGAACTGGCTTTCCTGTGTGGATAATCTGAAACGCATAGAGGATCTTTTCAGCTCTGTGCTGGCTTAGGAATGACCTCCTCAATACCCTTCCCTCTTGGCCCCTTTTTTTGGGTCATCTTCTGGTTGGTAATGGTTATCTTAATCGTGTCGCTCTTGTTTTCTGCAGCGGTCAAGGCCCGTGGGTCTGACCTGCGCGTGCACTTCAAGGTTAGTGACTCCAGAGCTTAACTTAAGCGCAGCCAAAGCTTTCATATTGGAAGGCCGCAGCAACAGAAGGCGGCCGGGGCATGGGTGCATTTGGGAAGGAGGAGTGGCAGAAAGGCATTGGGAAGCATTGCAGTGAGGGTTGGAGGAGAAGGTGCAGGGCCTTTGTGTTCAACCCACGGGGCTGGGGGTCGTGCTTACCAACTGAGCCCGCAAATCTTCAGATGTCTGTGTCTTGTAGCATGGCGTGAAACACTCTGGGCGGGAGTTTGGGGCGCCTTTCCGCCGGGTCAACCTTGACACGGCTGTGTCGACCAGTGCAATCAGGTCTTAACATGGAGGATACTGGGCTGGCAGTCACAAGCTTTTGATCTCCCTTTAGGTGTCATCTCAGCACATCGGCAAAAGCGCACGCCAAGCAATTAACCTGGCCTTAATCTGGCCTGTAGTGCTGATATCCTTGGGTCTGCTTTTGGAGATGGCAACAAGTCAGAATTTTGATCAGCGGTGCAGATGCGAGCAGCAGGTTTGACAGTCTCAACAGCACCGTTACCAGGACAGCTTTGCCACCTGCCTCTATTTGTAGAAGTTTGCAAGGCACTTGGACGAGCCTGTGCCTAGAGCAGCAGAAGGCCGCAGAAGCAGGTTGGGGGGCGCAGTGGTAGACTTCAATTGCGCAATTGGTTGGTTAGCAAAGGCAAATGACACGCAGCGTTAAGCGATCCCTGTATCGGGTCCTGGGCAAACAGTACAAGACTCGATGGTCTTTGCTGCAATTGCACAATTTGGTTCGCCTCAGCGTCTTTTCTTTACGACGCTGGTTGAAGTTCTGTCGAGCGAAGCCCCTGCGGCGGGCAAACCCCCCATCAACGGGTTTCGCCAACTCAATCTCCCACACAGGAAAGCATGAGTAGGTTTATATAAAACGAGAAACCCACGCGTAACCTGCCCCAACCTTAACCCACTGCCTAACCCCACCCGTGCAGAACACGCGTGAGTCAGCCCAGGCCATCAAGAAGATGACCCTGGTGCGCGCTAAGGCGTACCTGGAGAACGTCATTGCGCACAAGGAGGTCATCACCTTCCGGCGCTTCTGCGGTGGCGTGGGGCGGACAGCGCAGGCCAAGAACGCGGGCCAGGCCAACGGGCAGGGCCGCTGGCCCAGGAAGTCGTGCGAGTTCCTGCTCAACCTGCTCAAGAACGCGGAGAGCAACGCAGAGGTGGGGCGCGAGAGGCAACGCTTTCATGGATCCATGTTGTTCTTTAGTTCTCTTGTTTCTCTTCGATGGAGGAGAGTTGTTTGTTGCTGGCGGTGAGAAACGGCTCTCCTTGTGTCCAAAACACGAATGGAGCATCGGTTTGCCGTCTTACAGCACCCTTGAGCTGGCCGCTTGGACGCAAAGTGTCCGTTGCCCAGCTTTGGCTGGATTGAGCAAATGGGTCATGTATCTTGTATGTCCTTTCTGGAGGCACAAGATAAGTTCCTCAGTTAGAAGGGGGAACCGGGTTGAATACCTGGGCACGATTTTGCATGTCCGCGAGGAGCTTGATTGCAACAACTATTGGTCAGCTCTAAGCATCTGGCACTGAAGGCCATTGCTACTTGATTGCACATCATCATGTAGTGCCCATTGTGACCTGTGCAAGGATTGTGGGCAGGGAACTTCGAGTTACCTTACCTCCATTCAGTTTACTGATGTAGCCAGTGCAAAACGAATTGCAAAATAGTGACCTTTGCAAGACTTCAGCTCAGGGGGACACATGTCACAGCACCCTTTCCGGACCACACTTTCGTACCTTCTTTGCTAGATTCATCGGCAAGTTGCCATCTCTGACATTTTTCTTTTCTTCTGCAGGTCAAGGGTCTAGATGTTGACACGCTGGAGGTGTCGCACATCCAGGTGAACAAGGCGCAGAAGCAGAGGAGAAGAACATACCGTGCCCACGGGCGCATCAACCGTGAGTCCGCTTTCTTTCCCTTTGTTCCATTCTGCTCCACTTCTGTTCGGACTCTTTTCTTGCCTGGAACTTCAAGTGAAGGCTGGTTTTTGGGCTACCAACACTTACAGAGGGCAAAGAGGGTGAGCATGTTGAGATTGGTCGGCTCAGGCGGTTTGGGTCTGCTCTGATGACTTTTCAAGCAGCATGAGGGATTTGGTTGCTTTGCCAGCTGATTCGGTTGCTTGCATGGAGGAGTCATAATCTTCATTGCGTATTTATGAGAGGGGCAAGGGGCCCTGTCATCCTGCTGCATCATATGTCAGCATCGATTTACTTCGTGACTCTGTCCTTTGCTGGTCGGATTGATCACAACTGGCGCTTAGCTCAAGACCTTCAGGTTGATCCCCAATTTCAAGACTTACCCAATCAGACAACCAGTTTGCGTTTGTCGTTTTCCTGACGTCCTGTCTTTTGCAGCTTACATGTCTTCCCCCTGCCACATCGAGCTTGTCCTGTCCGAGAAGGAGACGACCGTCAAGAAGGAGGTGAGTTCTCATGCCTCAAATCACCCGGTTCTGGATGCTGGTGGTTGCGTTCAGTTGATTTCGTTCTTTTGCTTTTGTTGCTCCTCATTGAAGTGGTAGCTGCGGCCCGCAATTTGAAAGTCATACTTGTCTGGTCTGGAAAGGAGATTCTGACTTCTTGATCCGGATGCATCCTCCTCTGAGCACTCCCAGCATCAACGGTCCAAATTGATTGGTGGCTAGGTTTTCTGCTGATGATCCGGGGGTGTAAAATGGAAGCTGTCCGAGATTGCATTGCTTCCCCAGTTATCTGATTTTATCTGCTCAGAGCTCTGATTTGGAAATTGCAAGTGGGATCATTCAATGTCTGGTGCTTCCGCAGACTGAGGAGGAGGCCCCCACCAGGAAGCGCAAGAACCAAGGCCGGCTCGCCAGCGGCACCAGCTCTTAGAGACGGTGTAATCCTGTAAAATTGGCATCCTTGACTGCGCAGTATCCATTTCATCAAGTTGACATGCATCGGTACGTTCCGTATCAAGACGAGAGCATCATGAACATAGAAAGCCGGATGTTGTGATGTGTGTTCGAGGATCCGTGCATCTTTCGCTTTTTCCATGAAATGTCTGACATGATGACAAACTAGTTGGCGGCCCCCATGCTTTCTCAGGATCGACACCTAGGTTGCGCTGGGCAAGTACGTGAGTTAATTATAGTCAATTCTAGGCATCATCGACATATGGCATGAGCAGAAGCAGTAGCTGCTGTTCAACGTGATGGTCTCTTTTCATATCCCTACAGCTAAGTAGGCCATAGGCACTTCATGGCACACAAATGTGATTGATCGAAGCTTAAAGTGAACGTATATGACTGCATGGGCTAGAATTACGCATGATACCCTCACATGCAACATATTGGGTAAAGTCTATCCAGAGGGCATGGCTCGTCTGGTCATGAGACATTTGTCATAGCGTCCCGATCAACACGTGAGGCCATGCAGTCGACGATGCCACTGCATGCGTTGGCAGATCGCCTGCATTCCTGAAAAGGGCCCTCGAAGCGTCAATCACCTAACTTTTAGATCTGCAGTTTGCAAGTTCGATTTGATGTCAACATCGACCCAAACCAGGGTTGCCCGGCCATTCGCAGCCCAACAACCAATCAGCAGCATCTGCATTCGCCCGTTTCCAAACTTCCAATGAGCATGCAGAATTGTAGATTTCCAGCTGTACATTGACGAAGGTCTCTTTTCCATCGGACAGCATCCACATTATCCATGATGGTAATCTACTTTGTTAACTCGTAAAATGTGCACTTCCACCAACCTAAAAGCTTGTTCTACTCGTCTACTTTGCTCACTTGAACGTTTCACAATCCATGAGAAGCCCCTCCGGAACCCGACCACGCGCACTCATGAACTTTCCAAGAGCCCCGTCACTTGACTCGCCCCCCCCTCCCCTTAACTTCCCCACAGCCCGTCACATCTGACATGCCGCTGCTTGTCGATGCCTCCATCCCATCTATCGCGGTACCGTCTATTCTCTCTCCGTGAGCTAGTTCCAACCCCGCTTCACCTTCCTAATCCTTGTTGCCCAGTCCGTGTCCAAAGGACCCTTGAGCTCCACAGGTGGACCCCAACTCCTTCCCGTCGCCACCACTCCGCCCAATCGCCTATCCCTCTCCCCTATCGTCGCCTGCTTCTCTTCTCTATCGCCAATCCACACTCCCCCTAAGCTATCCCTCCATTTGCTCGTCCTCGTCCTCGTGTTCCTCCAGCGTCAGCTCGTCCTTCAGCTCCTTCCAGCGCCCGCTCACCAAACTCATCGCCTTCTCTTACCGCCCACCCCATCGCCTATCCATACACCCCAATAAGCTATCCCTCCATCTCCTCATCCTCGTCCGCATGTTCCTCCAGCGTCAGCTCATCCAGCAACTCCTCCAGCGGCACCTGCGGCGGCTCCTCCCCGTCGGTCTCCGTCATCGTGTCCTCGTCGCGCGGCCGCGCCACGTACGTCGGGTCCTTGTAGAGCGCCACCTTGGCGCGCATCTCCGGGTCTTCCTCAAGCTCCTCCAAGAAGCGCTCGTAGTCGACGCGCGCCTTGTCGTCGTCCTGCAGGAGGAAAACGATTCGGGTTTAGGCTCTGTTTCTTTTCGATGCTGTTCTCTTAATTGGCGCTGCTCACGGCGTGGGAAGCGAAAGTGGCAGCAAGCGCTTGCAGTCGACGCACATGTTGTCATCGTGTAGATAGAAAACGTCCTGGACTCAAGCGTCCGGCTAGCGAGACTATGTCTTACTTGGCCCCGGTCATTGAATCAAGAGAAAAGAAACGCGTTGACTCTCCGCAATTGTCCAGATTGAATACGAGGTGTTCGGGTACCACTGGGCATAGAAGCACAACTGAATATAAGGGCTTGGAAGTCAAGCCCGCAACAAAGAAGTGGAGCTTATGTTCGACTCATGTGAGCAATAGATGCGGGCTCTCAAGACAGCTCACAATCAGATCCGGCTTTTAGAAAAGCGAGGCAAGTTTGGTGCGGAGCAGCTTGGAAACTCTTGAAAGGCATCCGCCACGAATAGTTGCCATCATAGACGAAGGTAGTCGCAAAGCCGGAGGTCAACAATCAATGGACGGAAATGGATCACGAAAAGGCATCCGCCATACTTCGGCTCTCGAAGTCCAAGCTACATATATTGCCGGGGGATATGCCATCATCCCCTCTCGACAACTTCAGCCGAATCGTCCTTTCAATTCCTTTTCAGGAACTAGAGGCGACCGAGAAACACACAACACTCACCTTGGTGGTCGCCTCCACCTCCATGGGCAGCTGCCGCAGCTTCCACGCGCGCCCGCGCCCGCGCCGCTTCCGCCGCTTCTCCTCGTAGCTCTTCTTGATCAGCACCACGTCCGGAAGCTGGAACCCCTTGAACTTTTCCAACTCCGAATCCGCGTTCGTGTTCGCCGCATAGCAATCGTACCCGAGCGCCAGATCCCCCGCCTGCAGTAGATGTCCCAGGTGCGTCCGGCACTGGAAGATGACGTCATTCTTCCCAAAGTCTGACGTCCGCGCGACCGTCGCGTCCGCGAGCGCGTACCGCTCCTTCCCGCTGCCACCTGTCGCGCTGTGGCCGCCCGCGACCGGCTCGATGTCGAGCACAACGTATTCGACCAGCTGCTTGCTTACGATAAGCGGGCGGTACGGCGCGCGCCAGTACTGGTTCGCGTCCTGGTACACTAACCGCAGGGTTAGCGGGTCGAGCAGCTGCACGGTGTTGCTAACCCGCGTGCAAACCACGAGCGGCCCGACGTTCCCGAGCGCGTTGGCCACTTTTTGCGGGAGCAGGATCAGGTCGTCTTTGCAGACGGGAACGATTTCGACGCTGAACGTGAAGCGGTAGTTGTAGGTCATGGAGTGGGAGTCGTGGGAAACGAGTTGTTTGTCGGCGCGCTGCTTGATGGGGACCACGGAGTTGAGGAAGTCAACGAACTTGAGCGCATGGCTGCGGTTGGAGTAGTAGAAGTCGACCCCGTCGTGGATCTGCAAGGGCCCGCAAGAAACGGATGTCAGATCGACTTTCCAATCCGCTGGACTTGTATACGAGCTCGTTGTGTGAAGTCGGGAGCTCGCCAATGAGCGGCTGAAATGAATTTGAATGACGAAAGCCACGACCCGGAGATACTACGCAAAACATACGACTTGCAAATGCCAATAGCAATGCTTCTAAGCATCAACGAGAGTCGATCGAAGGGCCTGGAAGCTAAACCATAAAAGGATTTGACTTGCCCCGCGAAGCTTATGGGGAACGGATTCGGGTCCGCCTCGTGACGTTTTCCTCTTGAGATACGAAAACGATGGGAAGCAGAAAGGACACGAAAAAGGGAAGGGTGCAAAAGCCCGTAGCCTGCAGCCAGAGGAGCCCACGCAACGGCCCGGCCGCTACCAGGACACGCTCGACTGGCGCCGACAGGGACCGGTGTTCTCTCAAGAGTAAAGTGAGCCCCAACGTAAAACTATCAAACAATCCAAATCCTGGACAACAATGTACATAACTTGCAACTTCTTTGCTATAATCACTCCGTAACCTACCTGCTTGATATTGATCGTATTGGAGTCCGCGCCGTGCTTGAGAATCAGCTGCTCCAGGAAGAAGAAGGTGCGCTTGTGATCCACTTTTTGCCGTAGCTGCACTTTAGCGATCCACTGGTCCGGGTTGGCGGCAGCACGCGAACAGCTGTCGCACATGTGGTCCTGCAAAGCCGCGAATCGGTGTTACAGCGTCCGATACGAACACGTTTCAAACTTGGGAGGAGAGAAAAGGCTCTGCCAAAGCGGAATTTGACCAAAGCGGGAACTGATCTGCGGCATTAAGCAATGCTGTGATCCATGCCAGGCGACCATGCGTCTGCTGATGCTGGTTATCCCATACTGCCCCATCTCTCAACAGACGTCGATTAACCTTGTGAGTACAAAATGACCCGGACTTCCTTGGAACGGCCTTAAGCACTGCAGTGAAAAAGTTCAAACCAGCCTGTGCCCCCCTAGAAAACACACGGGTTTCTAACACACGGGTGGATTGACGAAAAATGTCGTCTTCTGACATGTGGTACTGTTACTAGTTGACACCTTTCTGCAATCTAATCTCGTCTGCGTTCGAAATCCTTCCTTTGGGAAAGTGCCCCGGTGAGTCGGTTGTCAGCCTTTTGCTTTTCAACCTCTAAAAGCTTATACCTCCATAATATCTGCCCAACCAGAAACGCCGCCAAAAACTGACTGAACCATGCGACAACAGATTGAGGCGATTCATCTCCACCAGAACTGTCCGGCCACCATTTTGGGCGAGATTGCCGGTTACACACACTGTCCTCAAGAAGCTTCACAAAAACACAGAAGCGAAACCCAAAAACGTAACCACAGCCTTAACGGGAACCACAACCTTGACCGGCCTTGATCAGAGCCTCGACCGAGGTTAGCCCAACTCACCTCCACGACAAACTCCACCACAAACGTCTGCTGCAAGATCGCCCCATTGAACACCTCCTTCTGAATCGTCAGCTTGAGCTTCAGCCGCTTCGAATGCGGCTCGGTCCAGATAAACCCGGCGTCGATTAGCTTAACCTTGTTCAGGTTCCGCACGCGCTTGATGCAGAAGGTGAGCAGCTCTTTTGACTCGAGCTTGGCGCGTGTCCAGTTCTTGGGGGGCTGCAGCCAGCGCTCGCACTCCTTACAGAACAAGACCGTGACCTGCGTAAGAATAGAAAGTGTCGCTTTCATAAGTGATCATTAATTCAACTTGACATCAAAGAGGGAGGGTCGCAGAATACCAAGACTGCAGAGCCTAAAGGTCACAAAAGTGAACGCGCGCCGCTTGCACTCCATACAAACGCAAGCGCTAAGCTGCAAAAAAACGGAGACTCTTCCAAATGAAGCTGCAAAGCACGGTGATTCTTTCAAATGAAGCTGCAAAAACATGGTGATTCTTCCAGATGAGGGTTAAAACTAACTAGAATCAGGAATTTGAAAAGCAGGAGGGCAGCCACCATCCGCCACTCCTTGCAGATCAGGCCTTAATCAATGCTTTTAAGTGGATCACGAGCTCAAGCTGACGCAGTGGGCGAGCTCCAATAGAAAAGGAGAAAAAACTTGAGAATAGGAGGGCAAGTAGCAAGAACCGTCAAAACCCTAGAATCTTCGTGGTTTTTGTCAAAGGTTTGGGCCAGAGCTTGAGCCAGACCAACTGAAGCAGATTCCGGAGGGCGCTTGCAATTGCGGACCGCGGATTGCGGTACATCAAGCTTAGAAAGAAGTAAAGCCTTGATTGTTCATTGGAGGCAGTCTGGAGGAGTGCGATGAAGGGTGGTATGCATCTTAGATGATTGAAATGCTGCAAAAGCACCTACAGATGGATACAGCTAGCCGGCACAAAAATGTTGGTCACCAGAAATTGCTGAGGAACCAAAAAATTGCTGGTCACCTTTGTGCAGTTTGTAAAAGCAACCGCGCCAGCCAGGCAGTCTGACGAATCAGCCAAATTGCAATTCAAGGCTCGCATGACAGGTGTGCATGAGTCCAGCTAAATGACCAGTCAATCGAACTTCCGGGCAAACTCCCAATCATAGCAGCAGCCACCGTAAAGCATATTCAATACTACGTCATCCCCGACTTACACAAACCCCACCCCTCGAGATTGCCAACGCCACACATCCCTTGCACACTTCCAGAAACCCAATCAAGGAAACAACAAACCCTAAAAGCGCACCTGCTTCTGAATGCTCTCCGTAATGTCCACCTGCGTCCGTATACAAGCGACGCACATGTTGGACGGGTTGGGCGGGATCGACGTGCCGCAGAGGCAGCACAGGACGTGCCCCTGCGTGTGCTGCACATGGAACATCTCCATGGCCGCCGCCATTACCGTCGGTAACGATTGTCACCTCGTCGCAAAGCACCCCTGTAACGCCCCTTATCACTGACGGCGACACAAACTGGGCGGGGCAATCTTAAAACCGACCCTGAGTCAAGGTGCTCTGTACCAGGCCCGCCGCCTCAAATGCTGTGCCTCGTCTCCTTGTCCAAAGACAGGCGCCCTTGAGTGCTTGCACAGGCCCAGCTTCCTGCCCTCTGAGACTGCAGCAGGATGGTGATCCAGAGGCGTTCTAGAAGGGGCCAGAAGCGAATTAGAAAGCGGCAGACTTGTCCCAGGGCAGTAGGCTACCGCGAGATCTGATTCTTCCTCAAGCTGGCAGTGTGAACACTGTACGGTACATCTCATCCTTTGCCACCCAGCGCTTGCCACTTGGCACCCACTTGGAGCAGCCAAGTGCCATGAGAGATGCGCAGGGCACATCCAGTTCGGCAGTTCAACGTAGGAACTGCAGAAAGAAGCATGCGCAAACTGGCCTGCTGGCGGCACATGCAACGGAGGAGAGGGCTCCCTCAAGGCTCAAGCTCGAGATCGCCTCAGCTCAGATCAGCAGACGTGTCCGCGCCCCCGTGGGCTGTGATCAGGACACCTCAAAAGTTCCTGCCAGGTCGCCTTCCTTGAAGCTGCGCTATCCGCAAAGTCTGTGGAGCACTCCTCTGCTTCTTCAAGCTTCGAGCATCTCTTGAAGAGAAGGTATTTAGGTAGCAAAGGTGCAGAAATCCGATCAAGCAACAAAAGCAAGAGCAAGCTGTGCAACTGGCAGCAGTGTTCATTCGTTCCTTCATTGACCTGCCTTTTCAAATCAACTCTCTGCTACACACAGTGGTCAATTGAGCAGCAATATCTGTTTCTGCAAGTGATTTGCAAGCTTTTCCAAGTGAAAGATGGGCAAAGGATGGGGCAAAGGCCGGGGCAAAGGACAGGGCAAGGGTGCGGCCAAGAATGTCGTTGAGGAGCGGGGATTTGGGGGGTACCCTCAGCAGTACGGATACCCACAGCAGGGCTACCCGGCTTACAACCAGGGCGCTCCACCAGGTCAGTTCCAATCAGCTTTCTAGCCTCATACGAAGGTTTGTTGATAGCCTTATATGAAGGTTGTTGATTGACCATGGCTGAACCCTGTGCTTGGCTATGCGAGAACAGGAATCAGGAAGCGAAGGGCTTTTGCACCTTTTTCGAAAAGGAGGCCAGTTACTCTAACTGTGTCCAGCATGTGTCTGTTTGTAAGGTTGCATGCAAGCACAGATCGTTGTGGTGTTCAACAGAGAAGGTGGTGCCATCATGAGAACTGTGGTGAATCGATCAGAAAGAGTGCTTCAGAACAGGTTGAATGTGGATTTCTAAGTCCACATTCATGCACCTTACATGCATTTCATCTTTCTGATTTCAATCGGTTGGCTGCAGGCTACCCGGCAGGTGGTCAGACGTACCCGAACCCTGCATATGGAGGTCAGCCACAGTACTATGGCGGTCGGCCACAGAGACCCCCCCAAAATGGCGGTGGTGGTTTTCTGACAGCCTGCCTGGCGGCACTGTGCTGCTGCTGTGTCGTTGATGAGTGCTTGGACTGCTGTTGTATGATGGCCGGGTAAAACAGTTGGAGCAGACTAGTTTTGGGAGAACTACCAAAGCAGAGATCAGGGGCGCGCAGATTTGTTCATGCACAGACAAAATAGTTGTTAAATTTTACTGCAATTTGTTGGGGCTACAATTTAGTAGCTTGTCTTACAGTGAAAGGAGTCAGCCACAGGTTGGCTGTTTGATCCTTGTTGGTTGGTTATAGTTAACGCACGCAGGAAGTTTATTATGTACCATAATTGCTCCCGAAATTGAAATTAGAAATTCAGTGTGAAACTTAAGTTTTGTAAGAACATTCTTTTGAAATAACCTGCTGAACGTTGAGAAACATCACTTCTTCATTCAACGGAAATGTTTGTGCAAAGTCAACCCTCAATTGAACCTCGATTGATATTTTAAGTGAACAGATATGACATATTCACAGATTCACTATATCTCACAGCGCAATCATAATGATTTAAACATCATTTGCAACTTGCTGCTGAACACGTGGACAAAATAATGATACTCTGAAATTTCGATACACCATGGTCCACTGGGTAAGCTACTGTTCGATATGCTGCTCAAACTTTACTTTAAAGACAAAAAGGTTTCGTTCCATTGTAAAATACGTGTCCACCTTCACACATCCTGTGCAACAAACCACATTCACAAACACGCGCTGAGCTTTGTCTGGATGCTTTCGCTGGAAATAATGTTGTGTACATGCAATTAGAAAAAAGCCATCCACAAATTCCGTCACTACTATTGAGCTGGTTGCGTCACTACTAATTAGTTGGCTGCGAAAGAACAATGTACTGAGAACATTTCACAAACTTCATGTTTCCTGTCAAGGACTATTTGACGAATAATGTATAAACGCCGAACAAACCAGGCTACACGTTCTCAAAACGTTGAGTAGGAGTACCCTCTAGTTTAGCATGTTGTGCATGATATATATGTTCAATGCAAGGACAGCAATGAGCACGCTACGACGATAATTAATGCAACTTACAAGCCAATTCATGTAATTTGATCAGTCATTTTACAAGAATCGATAGAAAAAATGTTCCCGGCCCCATCAGGGCACGAGCACAAATAACATTGCTGGAAGTCTAATACCAATTGCGAAGCACTTTCGATTTTGCCCATGCATCGGATCACATGCGCTGTTTCTAATTCACAACAACCGTTCATTGCCTCGATCCTGCCCGCTCCTTCGAAAAAACATCCACGCAGCTACATGCATCATGTACCTCGGTTGACCATCACCCTTCGGATACATAGTAATCCTCTCCCTCTCTTTCAGAGTAGTTATACCCGCTCAATCGTGCATAGTCTGTCCGGACGGTATCTTTTAGATACGCGCCGCTCACATTGAACACCTCATGCGAAAATTTTCTCGAAACGCTCGTCCGAAACCATGTCTGTATCTTTCCATTATTCTGTTCTTCCGCTAATCTCCAGCTTCGTCGTGCTTTCCAATTCCGCCCATATCTGTATCCTTCCATCTTTTTCTTCCTCCGCTAATCGTCCGACTCCTCGTTCTTTCTGACCCCGCCCCCGCACGCCTCTAAGGTGCAGCACACACACATCGCTGCTAGGCAGGACTTCCAAAAGTCCCGGCCCCTCTCCGCCTGCGTCAGCTTCGGAAGCTTCTTCACAACGTGGTGCACTGCGGGGGCGTCGAGACCAGTCCCTCGGGGGAGACCCCCGCCCTGATTGGGCTGAGCAATCTGCTGCAAGGGAGCATTTCCGTTTCCGCCAAAGAAGTTTCCGCACTGATTCGGCGGAACGTTCTGCGGCAAGGAAACGTACCCCGGGAGAAAGCAGGCGGCCGCGGGACGCTCGTTTGGCTGGCCGCTTTGCTGGCACTGCGGGAGTATGTGACCTGCATCAAAAGCGGAACGGGAAAATGTTAGCGGTTGGCCTGTTCCGTCGAGCTGTAAGAGAACGTAATACACGAAAGTGGAAGGACGTAATACACGAAAGAGGAGAACGGGAAACACGACAGAAATAAAGACCAGGATGTAACCACAGTATTGCACGTGGGGCAGACTGACTAACTGGCGGCGAGAGAGACCTGCCAAAACGGACGGGGATACGGAAATGTTCAGGGGCTGGAAAAATAGAACCGTGTCGATGCGCGTTGTCTGGCAGCTTATTCTCTTCGGCCGCCCGGTGAGATCCGACGGCCTGCAAACAACTGACGGCAACCCTTCATTGCCACGTGATTGGTCAAGGAGTCAGAGATGCAGACTGGAAATGAGAAGGCGTCGAGCTCGTGTTTTCTTGTCTTCTGGGCTCTTTAAGATTCGCTGGGGGGGAAGGTCAGTCGTCGTTCACGTTACGGCGAACAATGACGAGAGAAGTGATTGAGAAGCTTCGCTCAGCTGATGAGAGAAGATACTTCCGTTCAGTTAGTCAATATCCTCGGCAAACACTCACTAAACTGATAGCTGACTCTCGAAACAAGGCACGGCCTATTCAAGTTCGAACTGGGGCTTTACGTCCTTCGATCCTGGGCAAGTTTCCTGGCTCGGGCACATTCTTAACTTCCGATCGTTCAGCTCTTTCTTTTCACGCCACAGTGCCTGCGCATTAATGACCCTCGTGCAGAAGCCCAGCGAGCAGCCAGAACTGATTGAAGGCACAAAGTCTTCGAACTAAAGCCAACATAGACGCTTTTGGCTGATCAACTTTCTATATTCGCCTTCTCTCTTATGCCTCTCGAAGAAATTGAAGACCGGTGGTCCGTCAACACTCCAGGAAATGTAGCGCCGATGAGAAAGCCTGCTCTCGGAGATTCGCGCGAGCAAGAGTCCAGTGGCGCGTTCTTCTCTACGGGGCGCTACTGGCAGAGGCCCAAGGCCTTGGGGGCGCTCTGGAAACTGTGGTCCCGGTTTTGTTTCGTCTTACAGTCTCGGAACGAGCTTGCAAATCGGCGGGCATCTCAAATCTCCGGTGCCGGTTTCTCACAGAAGGGCGCAGAATAGACAGTTCGAAGAAAGAGGTGGAGGAAAGAATGTGGTCAAGGTGAATCTTTTGATGGGCATTACCAGAAGTAACTCAGAAACCAAGGGCGACATGCTCACAAACGAAACGCGTTCATTTGCTGAAGGGTTGATCGCGCGGCGCTTTATGTCGTTGAGTTTCTTCTTGGGAACCCTAGTACGGCCGTGTAAGAACACTTCAACTACCCGCGTTCGTAAACACAACCAGGAATTTAGGGTTTTTTAAGCTAAATTCAGAGTCTGTTGACCAGTAATTCATCTACTGTGCAATGGGAAAGTCGGTGCTGGACCAGGAGTATGGTTCAGAAAAAGCCAGTCGGAATCAGAAATCTTGCGTCTCTCGCAGGCTTATTCGAGCGGCATGCAAGACCGAATGCTAGCCCACAGAATAGTTCCCTAACCACACATCACTGAAGCCGACGACGAGGCCTTTCCGATAGGCATTTCGCAAGCGGGAGCACTCACCGGGCGAGAAGTGCTGGCAGCAGATATGAATACACGTGGCCGGGTATGGTTGAACCGGGTACCATTGCTGCTGGAGCTGTGCATGCTGACCAGGCTCTGCATTCTGCCCACTCTGTGGACTTGTTCCCTCCGGATCCCCTTCGCTACCTTCGGTGTTCCCCTCGCCTCTACTTGTCTCCCCTTTACCCTCGCTATCCTTCTTCGTCCCCTCATTGCTGCCCCTGTCTGCCGTACCTTCGTCGCATTCTTTCTCCTTCTGTTTGTTCGTAGGCAGTAACTTTTCCATCACCTTACTGACCCGCTTCGCTCCATTGCTGATTGGATTCTTCTTCAGTCTATTACCCTTCTCTGAAGGCCCTTCGGGTGTATCTCTCTTCTTCTTCCTGTTCCTCGAGAAATCTTCTTCAGCCTCGTTTCCGGCCCCCTCCTCTTCGGCGCTGCTTTCCTCGTCAGAACTCTTTGCTTTTTCTTTGACCCTCCTCATTCTCGGGCATTCTAGCTGCTAGAGAATTATTGACGCTACATAGGTGGTGACAGTCACGGGCAGCATAAAGTTGCCCTCAGTAGCCACAATGCAGGCTCCTGAGAGTCGAAGGCTCTTGTGCTGATGCCGCTTCGAATGTGCATGGCTCTCTCAAGAGGAGGAAAGAGAGGCAAAAGACTCGAAAAGAGTGGCCCCCACCATTCGATTCTAATCGGGCGGCTACGTCCGTACGTACGTCCGGGGTTTTGCTGGGCATCCCTCCGCAAAAGCGCGGACAAACCTAGAAACTTGGGCTCCAGATGACAGCAGCTCTCTGAGACCTCGACATTCAACATGAGGTGCATGGTAGGCTAGGTGGGCTCGAATCCGATCGATCAAGAACCGTGTGACACCTGTCGCTTCAGCTTAACGCAGATAAGGCACTGCTGTCAACTCAATTCACCTTGGTCTCATGGATGACCTGGGCAGAAACCGTCGAGAAGGGAAGTTTTGATTTTCTTGCATCTGAGTGTCAGACAAAAGGCTCGAAGCAACGCGTTATGCAGCGGGGCTGATTCGTCTCCTCCGAACACGTTCATGTGCATGCAGTCCATTCATATAGCTTCAAATGTTCATGAGCGGATCAGAGATTCAAAAGTTTGAAAACGGATTCCGAGACATCCATAGTACTATCTGCGAATCTCGTGGTATGTCAGCAACGATCAGCCCACATTTGATTCATATGACTGTCGTGCTCATCATTTCAGAACTTGGGTTTCTCTACGCGGGGTCTCCACTGATTATCATGCTGGGCAGTGACGTTGACCATTCCGCCAGATCTTTGTGTGCTAAAAGGACTCTGAGGACTCGTAGGTAGCGACGGGTCGTGATTTATATGTTGATCCTGACACGCTAGCATAAGATACAAGCATGGTCTGAACGAACTGCGACCGCATCCGGATCCCAAAGTACGTACTTCGACAATCGCTTTTTTGTTGCCCTATGATCTTTAGTAGCTGCACCTTGTTGCAAGGACAGGAAGTCTCCCATGACACCCACAGGTACTACGCAAAGCTCGCTAGCGACCAATTCTTGCAAAATTGTTAGATTATTGGAGATCAGACG